TTCCAATACATTACCTCTAAAGGTCTTGTCATTACTTCATTTTTTTCTAGCATGTTCCAGTGCCTAAACCATCTCATACATTTAAGGTGGAACCAAGACATCTGTGTCAATTCTCTAGATTTCAGTCTGAGTGACAGACAACTAAAAATTAGCTACTTCAGCACCTCTAGCATTTTAGCATACTGCAATTATTTCATGGAACTAGCAATTAAAATCTATGATGGCTTCAAAATACACTTAATTTTAAAGGTAAAGGCCGTTAATACATCATCTCTTGTAAAACATAAATCGTGTCACACCTTTTGGAAACTGAAAAGAAATACCATACCTTCTGTAAGTCATCTGCTCTGTTTCCTTTCCTTGATCATTGATGATCAAGCTGGTTCCCATTGAAGACCCTATGACATATCAAGTGAAAATTATCTATCTGACTGCTGTAGGAATTACATACACTAACTACCACACTGCTATACTGATCATACTGCAATGAGTTCTAAGTACCCAAATGCAAGAAAAATGGACATTAACTACAGAAGCTCAGAAATATTATTTTATGTATGAGAGACAGTCATGATAAAAAAGCTTAAGAGGTTGATACAAACCACACTGAAATTGTTAAACTGTCTTCATAGACTTTGGAGTAAGCCCACAAATAGCTATCTATGGATATTGCTTTCTTATCAGATTAAGGAGGACATAACTACTATTTATACTTAAATAAAAGGCCAAAATACCCAAGAATAAATAAATATTTATTAAGTTTAACTGTAACTAGCTAATTTACTCTGGGCATTAATTATGTATCACTGTATACCCTACAAACCTGTTAATTTAATTTGTCATCTACAAAGAAAACTGCAGGAAGGCAAATCCCAGCAGAAACTGGATAGTTAACACCTTGGGGCTATACATATTGAATTAAGTGATTGAAACTATTTTGTTGATAGAATTCAATAGCAACAGGAAGTGAGTGAAATGTAATACAAGCATAAAATACATTCAAGATAAATAACAGGATGAATCCTGAAAATACCATGTCTCAGCATATTCTGAAAATTAAATAAGTTGGGCTGCAAGCAGATAAACTAAGTCCTTAGAGCTTGACATACTAAAAGGAAAAGCTAGACTATGCATTGTGTTTGGTAGCTACCAATCGGCTTCTATCCTAAAGTTAGTAGCTTTCTATCTATAAGCACAGGTTTTCCACTTTGGTATTACCAAGTTCATATTTACTAGCAAATGTTAATCTCCCAAAATTCCTGTGAGATTTTTATAGATAGGTAATGAGACATGTTATATAAGGCTAAACAGGAAACTGTTGATCAATCTGAAAATGAAAAATTAATCTTAGAAGTAATATTCCAATGTTTAAAGCTTCTGTCTGATAGTCCTCAAATTTTCCAATTATTACTTCATTCCTACTGGCATCTTGGAACATGCAATTTTACAGATGACCATTAAAACTAGCTTGAAAATGATAACATTACACCACACTACATTCATAGGCATATGTGTCAGCAAGATCAAATAGTTGTTGTAATGACACTCACTTTGCTCAACCAGATTCTCCAAGCTGATCTGCCTCAAAGTCATATAAAGTTCTATTGGTTTCAGCAAAGCTATATCCAGCTGAAGCCATAGAGGAGTGAGATTCCAAGTTCAGTTGTTAGCAAGGAAAGGAAACATTGAAGGGCTTACCTCTTTGAAAAAAATATCTCTACAATATTTAAATGAAAAAAGAAGATCTTGGAATTCTGCTTAGCACAGAAACACGAGCAGGTTGAAATTCACAATAGCTTTACTTAAACTCTCATTTTGTCTTCTGGATCTCAAACTGTTATGAAAATGCAGTTAGTTATCAAAATGTCACTGATGCCAAACCAACTAATACGATGTCACAAGCAGATTAATTACTTAAGCTGGAAAAATGTCATGTGGAGTAGATGAACTCTGAAAGAAAAACTAAAGGAAGAAAAGATCCTGTTTAACATGGTATCACAGAAAATTGAATCATCTAAAAGAATGTTAGAAAATGTAAATGTTAGGCTAGATATGTTTGTTAGTAAAATGTAAATAGAGATAAACATGAGGTTGCTCCTTTTGAATATTCATGACTATGAATGACCTTTTACTTGTAAAGTGTATTAAATTAAATATAGCATACACCAACCTCCATCCATTCTTATCTATTTATCATAATTCACTACTCTTACAGGAAGTTAAAGAAAATGAATTTTATTATAAAAGCACAGCTTGTTTAATAATGACCTCTAGATTCACTGTGGCAGACACTACCTATTTTTCTGTTCCTGTCATTCGAGGAAAAAAAGGAAACAACAAAATTGTGAAAGAATAAAAGCATCAGTGCTAATCATCCTAAACTACTTAATATTATTCAGAATTAATCCCTCCTATAAGCAAGAGGTCATTTCTCACTGCAGAATTGCACACCAGTGCTACTGTAGACCTAGTTTCTAATACTAGCACAAACAGTAAAAAGGAGTTCTGTTAGAATGAAGTTACAAGAAGCTATGTTACAACATTAATAATGGAAGAAATTTGGAGTGGTTTAGAAAGTAACATAAATTCTTTTTAACCTAGTTGCAGAATTGTATATGGCCTGCATAAAATGGTAACCAGTTTGTAAATGTATTTCAGTGATTACTTTTAAAAAGATGAGCAAAAAAATGCACAGAAAAGGTAAGAAAAAGGAGAAGTGGAACATGAACATGAGGAATTGTTTCAGTTAATTTTAGTGTTGGTCTGGAGCTGCTACAAAATCTACTTTTTTTAATCGGATATGGAAAAAATGATGACGAACCAAGAAGGCTTATAAAACTCAGGTGCTCCTTGGAAGAAGTGTCTTTGGGGATGTCTAGAACAGTGGTTTCCAAAGTGGAACTTGCAAGACAATCCACTGGGGTGCAGAAATGATGTATTTTTGTACTATTGAAAAGAAAAATTAATATATTTTAAATAGAATAATTTCATCTTTGTGCCAATCTTTATCATTGTATTTGTGTACACTTTATTATTTAGAGAATATAGTAGTATATTAATATAATTTATATATTAATAAGTACACATATACTGGGGGGAGATGCTTGAAATGTTTTTGATAGGAGTGTGTGCTAAAAACAAAAACAAACAAACAAGTTGGAAGATCCCTGGTCTAGAACACATCCTTCTGAAGTCCTATTTCCATATGGAAGTCATAAACACAAAGATGGAGTCCAAAACCTGACCAATAAATAAATAAGTTGTAAAGAGATGCTTATAAAGATCACTTGACATTCCAGCTCCCAGTGTGTCTGTCACAAGTCCTTCTGAGATTTGGCATCACAGACCCTGTCTTGAAGAAGTGCTCTGTGGTATCAACCAGATAAGAAACAGAGCAAAATAACAACAACTCCACTGTTCCCAGGAAAGAAGCTGCTAGATTTCAGCGATAACTTTATAATGTTTAACATTGCAAGTTCCATTTTACCAGTTAGTACAATTGCTGTTGGAAAACATATAGTAACATTTAGAACTGATTTCAAAAAGCTTATTTTATGTGAGAAAAGACCATTACACAGACATATTTTAAAAGCAGCTTTCAACAATTTTTTTTTTCCATAAGTTTGTTTCAATACTATTTGGTTATTGTTGAGCTATAAACAAGAGAAAAAATAGAAAATATCCAAGTAATTCTGTTTGTGCTGAATAGGTCAAATACATAACCATTCTTTTGTTCCAGCACTTTGAAGGCTCCCTACAGGCAGTCCACCACATGAACCACAAACTTGTTTTAGGGTTTGAGCTTGGGTGCGTTTATTTCTCCTTCATCTTCCTTATTCAGAACACATACTATGGTCAGTCAGAATCACATATTTCCACTTTTTATCTTAAAATGCATTTTGATAGATGTTAAATCTGCTTTACATTACATTACAGCTGTTTGGTATGCCATAGCAAAATTCACATGTACTCAGTTCAGCGATAATACACAGGGACAGTTAAATGTTTCAGAGATCAGAATTAGCGGGGGGGGAAAAAAAAACAAAACAAAACAAAACAAACAAACAAACAAACAAAAAAAACAACTTCTATTTATCATCACCTAATTCAGCCTAAAATGATGCTTGATGTTTGAGGGCAACTGAGTACAAGAGTTTTTTTGAAATGCCATTCCTGTTCACAGCTTACGTGCTCTTTTTTACTATTCAAGATTCACACCCTGAAACCTTCTTCTAAGGATTCAAACCCCTAGCTATTCTGATAAAATACAAGGACTTCAGTTATGGCAAACTTTGTTTTACAGTGTCCTTTTTATTGCAGTAGCTTACTAGCAAAGATGAATGCAATTGTCTTCTGTTCTGAAAAGAGCAAAAGAAATTATCAGTCATACTTACCTTTGTCTTTGTCAAATTTTAAACATGCAAATGGTGGAATGATTAGAACCTCTCAACAGATTGGCTCTACTTTCTTATTTTTACATAACACATAATCTTCCCCAAAAACATTTTCAAAAATAGCTATGTAACTTGGGGATTTTCCAACATCCAACCTGAGGATTTTTCATTTTACATGAAAAATCTCTGATCAAAGAGGAGGTCTCTTAACTATCAAGGCCAGTCTCCAGCTGCCAGAGACCCATGCAATCAATTAAACCTCTTCAAACTGCCTTCTAGGTGTGATCATTCCTGTAAAATGCAGTTACTGTCACCCTGTCAGCTGGTCACTATATAATGTCTTTTGAAGCAAGAAAGCAAACTTTTAGAAAACAAATCTTGTTTTCATATATTTACTCTCTATTATATAAAGATAACAGAACCAGCAAACATGGGTCATAAAAAGCAAAATAAAAAATACTTTCTCTATAGACCTATTCAAATTCTTGGAAATCACAAGTATTACAAGTAGGTGGTTGGATAATGCTTAGTGTTCAAAGGATCGTAAAAATATGCCAAAAAAAAAAAAAAAAAAAAAAAAAAAGACAAAGTAGGAGATATGTCAAGGAAAGTGTTTACAGAAATTCTTTATTTATTTAATATACTTGAAATCAGTGCATAGAGCCCCCCCATCAGTAATGTTGTTCCACTGAAAAGCTGTTGTTCACAAGAAATTAACACAAGACAACATCATAATACAAAATATTTCTAAAGTCTATTGCAAAGGAAATAAACTAAGAAGGCACTGAAACATTTATATGAAAACATGCACACTATCAGATCAGAATTTTATTTCTCTTACTACTGAGCATTGTACACTGGAGATCAAAATATTCACAAAAATAAATTTCCAATTCAGCATCTATTCTTCTCATGTGTCTTAGTCCCACCTATTAGGTGCATTCCATCTCTTAGGCAGTATTTTCAACCACTTAACTAGATTTTGACATTAAGCTCAAATCCTGAGATAAGCACTTAGCTACCTTCTCCATGTACACAGCATCAGTTTTGAAATTGTACCCAATTTGAATACAATAGCTGCAACTTTTATTTTGTATTCTCAGAGACAAGCCTTTGAAGTGTTAAGGTTTCTAGACACTGTAAAGAGAAATGTACACACTGAAATACAAAGAAAAATATTTAGAGTTAAAAAAAAAATATGAGACTAATAGTGTAAACAATGAAATTCTGTTGTATACAGTTGAGTGCTTGTCTGATGCAGGACTGTCCTCATTGCTTAACACGGGGACTTGCCATTGCGCACATTCTGAGCACACTGCCTCCCCAAACACGCACCCTTCAGCAACGCGTCACTTAATTCATCTAGTCCTATTAAAGTAGCCAAAGGAGAAAGGAATCCATGAAGGGCACACATGATTATGCTTAAGGGCCAGCCAAGAAACACCAGCACAATGAGCCAAAAGAATGCCCACACTATGCAGTTGCAGTCTGCCATCTGAAACCTAGCAACAGAGAAAAGGAGGGTTAACTTTGATGGCAAATGTATATAGAAATACATAGATAAAACTCAATTTTGTTTGGAAAATCTTATTTTGAGGGGTAAAGGGTATTTTCAGCCAAGAAAAATTTGTTTCCTGTATTTAACAAAAGTCTAATATAACAAACACTAAGTCACATATGCCTCCTGGGAAACTTCCTAAGGAGGAAAGGAAAATATCAGATTCCATTTAATCAATAGTCTTCTAGACTAGAATGACTTGGATGCAAATTCTTAAAATAGCTCTACAAGTTGCAATGTTCTGTTTATGCATGAGAAAATAGAGCTACAGATGAAAAAACAATTGATGTTTAGAACATAATGCAATACATTAGGAAAATCCTGAGGTCCAGAAAATAGGTGGCCCATAAAGCTGCAGAACTTCACAGGTTGTCAACAGGTAACCAACCCATGGAGGATGCCTCCCATTGCTTACTCTTTGGTTTAATGAAAAATGATTGCACACAATTGTAACCAGCTTATTTTATTTTATTTATTTATTTTTTTTATCTATTTGCTGGTCCTTTTCATTATCATTTACTCTCTGTACCGAGCTTTGAGAATATGTGCTTTTTTTTCTTTCTAAATAGATCCATCAAGCCTATCATCCACCAAGATTATTAACAGCCATCTCCCCAGTGACGGAGAAGTGTCGTGAGCTGTCAGAGCATTTTATTTCTGCCTTGTTCATTCTTTCAGCAGTCTGGGAAAATACAGATTTAGTTATATATATGAAAATGCTACACAATCCAAAGCACAAGCTGGAGTTTTCAGCTAGTCTTGTGAGATGTGTTGCAGCTAAATAAACCAAGAAAAAAAAAAAAAGAATTGACCATACATAAAACACCGGACCATTTCTCAGTATTTTACTATAATAATTCAGAATTGGGATTTTATGGTAAAAATATGAATTGTTGGGATACTGAGGAAATTATTTTAATATTAAAAAAAAAATTAATATGTGCAACTTGATTATAAAAGGATTACTAAACAACCATATATATAAATATGTATATATAAATATATTCAAATATATGTTATATATATAAACATATAAGTATATAAGTATATATAAAAGTGATAAAGTATACATCAAGGAGAGGGAAACAGAAACAAAAGGTAGAGAATTTTTTTTTCTCAGTCTAGTGAGCTATCACTGCAGGTGGTAAAGTATTATTGAGTTAGATAGGTTGTCCTAATTCAGATGCTAGTAAAATACATGAACACAGCAACAGTCTGCTCTCAAATCACGAAAGAGTAAGAAGTGCCATGTAACACAATAGTAACTCTGGAGTTAAGGACATCCTAAACAGTTCCACTTCTTTAGCAATGTTCCATTTACAAAACATTAAAAATATATCCAGAAAGAACAAATATGGCCAGAAGTATTTTTTTCTTGAGTGACATAGTTCTACCTAGATAGAGTGACTCATGGACTAATTTCATACTGATATTTCATATTAACATCCTAATGCTGTTTCTCGGTTACTATTTAGGTGAGACAACAGCAGCATACAAGCAGCATACAGAGAAAGGATGGTGTGCATTTATCTGCTGAATTTATGCAGCCTCATGATACGGTTCTGAAAAGCATACAAATGAGTCAATTATCAGTAAAACCAGAAAAATATATGGCTAGTAGCCTTACCTTTAAAGAATAACTCTATGGTCCTTTAAATAGCAGAATGTTTCTTCCAGTCTTTCACTAAAGCAGAAAAGCAAGATAAACACCTTGTTTGACTAAAGCCCTTTCCTCCTCCTTTCTGACCATACCCCAACCAATCCCCAGCAGTTAACATGGTCTCTGCCAGTGGCTTAAATGCTAGACCAGGTACTGAGAACAGAGGGCTACCTCAAACACCAGATGGCCCAAACATCTTCCACAAATTGAGGCACCCCCATGCCTGGCCTTCCCTGACAGTCCCCCTCACAAACCTTCTGCCTTAGGTGACCTTTGTCTGCAAAACACACCATGGATGAGGGCAGGCCCTCACAGCTGTGCATCAGCCACCTCCTCAGGGCAGAGGATTTCACACACACACAATCACAGAGTGGCTGAGGTAGGAAGAGACCTCTAAAGACCATTCAGTCCAACCCCCCTGCCAAGCAGGATCACGTAGAGCATGTTGCACAGGATGGCATCCAGGCAGGTTTTGAATATCTCCAGAGAAGGAGACTCCACAACCTCTCTGGGCAACAAGACCACACCAATTTCACCACACCAAGGCCAACCTGCCTCACCTGGGCCAGCAGCTGGGGGCAAGGTGTGGGCCCAACACTGCCTCACCTGGGGCAGTGGCTCAACAGGACCTGGGATGATGTGAAGCAGTTGGTGCCTCTGTTGGCAGGGGTGGTGGAGAAGAGCCACAGGGAGCACCAGGTCCCACCACGCCTTCACCTCAGGGCAGACCCCTGAGTAATTCCTCACGCCAAGCCCTGGTTACAGAGAAGGAAATACAAGCTGTTTTCTGGCCATCTCTTAACCTCTCCTCCCTTCAGCACCACCTCCCAACGGTCAACTCCTGGCCGTTGCGGCTGAGTGGCCCTAGTGGGCCGCAGGGAGCTGTACACCAGCAGTAGAACATAGCAAAACACTGGTATTAAATCTTCAGTCTCTTCTTCACCATGCATGTCCTTGTTGTTGGAAAGCTTATTTTCTTCTCCTGATAGAAAACTAACAGGCTAATCTTCAATCTGAGCAGGTATTCACTGAAGTAATATTATAAAGTGATCTTAAATTTCTGATCACCTTTGGTAAACAAACTAGATAATTAAAACTGTCTTCAGACATCCCGGGTGTCCATATAATCAAGATGTCCTAAATCTGCCTTCAATACAGAAAAAGAAAATGCAGTCTGTTGTTCTATTGAATGACTTCCCTATCCTGTTCTGAGCAGATTTTACTATGTTGATAGTCCACAAAATTTAATAAAACAACTAGGAATATGTTCAAGACTTTTCTCAGAAGTACCAAAAAGATCATTGTAATTGTTCCTCGTCCCCAACATCACTGGTTTGAAAAGGATGTTGCAAGACTCACTGCTTTTTCTTCAGCTATTCTTATGTATGCAGTCTAGGAGCTAGATCTGAAAAAACAGACTTTTGAGGCTATCATGGGATGTGAAACATTCAAATATAAAACTGTAACCTGAAAAATCTGCACAAAGCTCCTGTCTAATCCCAAGAGGCTGTATGGTTCATGAGAGGCCTTGCTGTATATAGACTAAATTCAGAGCCAGGCAGTAGCAAACTAGGTTACTGGCAGTTTGGCAATGTAGGCAGATTACCTTAATACACATTTCTACTTGCATGCACAGTGTTTCCTTTTCACATTACATCTTTCACAGGCATACTATATCCAGTCCAGAAAGCAAACATGGCTGATGTCTTTTTCCCTCAACTCTGTGTGATGTGACCAGATTGCAAAATGCTGCAGCAGAAAATAGCAAAACTCAGGCAGCTAACAGTTACCAAGTAGGAAGAAAAAGGTCTGGTCACCAGCAGACTGAGATATTGAACTCATGTCAGAAGGTGGAAAGTATGGGGAAGATTCCCACTTAATGCTTAGCTAGCTGACTTGAGAAAGAACGCTTTTTCCCTGCTTGCATGAGTTTGAGAAGACTCATAAGCAACAGCCTGTTCCCTACCTTCTCAAAGGAGAAAGGTAGCCTAAGGTGGAGACAGGTACCAGCTGGAAGACTATTTGATCAAAGCAGATGACGGAAAGACTAAGGATATCCATGAGAAGTGAGTCTGGTAATAGATATCTCTTTAATCCCAGGATTCTTGCCCTGGTTTTTAGCTTTGTGTCCCATCAATGTACTCACTGTTGTCTGCTATTTCTCTTGGAACACTGCTACAATCTAGATTCTGAAATTGACATATGAGACATCCCAAACCCGAAATAACTTACATGTATAAATGCTCTAACTGGGCTGTCGGTTACCTAAACTTACTTGTTTGTATTCTTTGGGATAACATGAAGGGAGAGTGAGAACAACTCAGTGTATGAGTCAGTGACCTCATTCTCTGAGAGAGCCTTTCCAGACTCCAAAACAGAACTCCAGAGATACAGCAATCATCTTTATATCCAATAATGGCCACCCCACCTTCACAGGAATATTGTTTTTAAATAGTTCCTTACTAGAGACTCTACTGTGATATTTTACTGCTTTCCCCATAGGTACAAACTGCTGCACAGAAGTTCTGGGAAGGAATTGGAGCTGCCTGCCAGGATACAGTCAAAGTCAGTGCCCTAAACTTACTGTGATGCTTCTCTCCAGGAAAAGTTGAGTGCTTCACTGGAGTGAAGTGCAGCTGCAGTCTAAATTGTACCACAGAAAAAATCAATATCTTTAGACACATGGGGTGAGAAATTTGCCATACCTGGGTAAGACCCGGTACATAAACATGCACATACACACATATTTCTGAACTAACCTTTAGTCAGCTGCACATCTATCCCAGTTTTTCTATCTAAAATTACTAAAACCTTTACCTACTTGTGCATATATATATGTATATATTTGCAATTGTATTTATAGTTCATTTAAAAGATCTTGTTAGGTGAAACATAACTGTTATTAGATTCATAAATTAAAGCTAAAGCACTGTGGTATATACATGGCTTACTGCTATGCATTATGAGGCATATCATAATATGCTTAATGATCTCTGATCTAATGCCCACCACCCTGAAAAAGAGCATGGACATATATGCATTTATAGTTCTGTACATTGTAATAATACCAAAAACGTTTTAAGTCCTGATTTAAACTAGTAATTTACTGGATTGGCTTTACCTTATATCAAGTGAGGTAAAATACCAGGTTTCATACAGACAATATCAAGGATATCACATTAGTTATTATAGTAAGAATTTCTCATAAGAGTTGACTCTCTTTAAAAAAAAAATACTGATACACAAGATGTGTGTGTGTTCCCCTGATATTCATGTGGAGCATCTAAATCCACCACATTAGCTAAGGTTTTCTTTCCAGTTGGTAACTGTTTCAGCTTGGAATTACAGGAAGGTACTGTGCTTAGGACCAAGAACCAAGATGAGTCAGGACCAGCAGCTGTCCTCAATGCCTCTTCTCATTACACAGTTCAGACTGACAGAGTGCCGGTGGGTGAACACTGCAGGAGCAGGGAGCAATCTAGGACAACTGCCCCATCGCTGAAGTATCTATGTAAGGAGTAGTACAATTAGCTCATAGTACATCATAGTACATCAAATGAGTTGAGGAACAGAGTACATGAAAATTGAAGTAGAAAAGTCCTTGTCTCTGTGTAAGCACTGCTGTGCAATGACAGAAAACATTGGTGTGTTATTTGCACTATTTGCATCAAAAATACAGAACACAGCATCATATAAACCTCTATAAAGAAAATTAACTCTATCCCAGCCAGAACAAACAGACAAACAAACAAACCAAACAAACAAAAAAAACAACAGCAACAAAAAACAAGACAATACTTCTGCAGTTGGGTTTTTCTTTTTCCCTAATTGTCTTGTTTCAGTGTTCTTGCATGTGTCCTCAAGCAAAAGAGGATTACTGTTAAGGCGCTTTCTCCCCTTTATGACTCAGCATGCAAAACATGTGGTATGTCTCATTTTAGAAAACATGGTATTGCCCAATAGGACATTGCTGCCAAAAATCACTCCCAAAAATAGGGCAAGTCTGCACTGCTGTGGATTAAGGTCAGAAACAGAATCTTAGTGCCTCCATACTGAGCTTCCCCTTACCCACTTCTGCTGCCCCTAAACTACTTCCTTTACAGTAGTTACGATACATTATGTCCCTAATGACCGTGCCATCTAAAAATAAGTGCTCTTGACACACAAGAGATGTCAGGCTAGCACAACAGGATGCTGAAGCGTCTCTAGATGTGTAGCAGAGCTTCTCTTACTCTGGGTTGCAGCAATTTAGGAATTCACACTTGATAAATGCAATAAGGGCGGCTTCTTTTTATCTCTCACAAACAATGCCAAGACTGATATATTCCTGACCCTTATTTGGGTCTCTAGCTTATTCTTTTATGCTATTCTCTGGAATCATAAAATTCTAATGTTTCATCAGGCAAATGTACACTGTGGCTCTATTTGTTTTCTTACAGATATCTATAGATGAACCATGTAATTGACAACAGTTGGCTCAACTTTTTGCTTCAGTCTATATTTTCCTAAAAGTGAATCATACATGTATAGAGAAATGCATTCTCTGTTTCCTCTGATGTTTTTCAAGTAAAGAGATAATGTCTGAACTATGGAAAGTTTCTTACTTGTAGCTGAAATAACTCTTCTTCTTTTATTTTTATCTTTTTTTCCAGGTACAACAGTACAGCAACAGGCTTCTCTGCATTACACTTAACTAATGTTATTATTACTTGATTCAAATATCCATGTCCTTGCTCTTTTTTTTTCTTTTTCTTTTTTTTTTTTTTCCCCAAGGTGATAGAAAATCTAACAAAAGGTATATGAAACTATTTTTCTCAATATTACATTATCCCTCATGTGCGCCAGATTAAATTGACTAAAGCCCTTCCAGAGCAAGGCCTGGAGAAATAATCTGCCCTTATTACCTACCATAGGAGTGGGAAATATCATTTTCTCAATTCAATAGTGGTATTTAGTGTCCTGAAATATTACTATTTACAAACAGAGATTGAATAGCACTGCAAGTATTGTTTCTTCCTCTTTTCTTGCATTCTTTTAATGTAGAGATTGTGTAGATACACCTGATGGTAAGGAAAAAAATGTTTTTGAAGGTTGAGAATTATATTTTTTCAGAAACCACACAAAAATTAGGCAAATGCATGGACTTACAGAGGATGCTTAGCTGAAAGAACTTTAAGGAAAATCTTTATTAATTTGTAATTTTGATAGCTTACTTTTAAAATGTGTTTCTTAGTACTACAGCACACAAACATTGTACAGAGTTTTTTCTTTTGTCAGGTTCTTAAGCAACCAATCCTCTGAGGTACAGGACTGTATGAAAACTACACTGAGAAACCACATAGCAGGGCAAGCACTAAGGGACGTAAAAACAGCCTTCAAAAATCCCCTGAAAATATTCGTTTTCTATTGATTGATTCTGCTGGGAGGATTACCATGTTTGGCAAAGGAAGCTACACTGCCGTATGTCTTAATGGCATTCACAGCTTCTTGACTGCTGTGGGTCGTGATTCATTTGTTGGCTAGGACATTTACTTTTGTCTATTTGCCCTATGAGATTCCAAGTGTTACCTAATTCTCATTTCAGTAGAATTGTAAGTCATCTTGTTTATCCACTATATGAGCAACTTTGCCTGCAGGTTCTCTTTTTAAAATAATTCTGATTTCAAAGAATAAAAGTAGTCTTTCCTGTCCTGTCAGCAAAGGCGTTCTGTCAACAGTACTTAACTTCTACTCCACATAGGAATACTTTTCTTCAGGACTGATACCCTTTTATGTCCCATGAAACAGCAAAGACCCAGTTCAAGAAGGAAGTGAAGTGGCAGAACGCTTGCTTCGCTGTTTGAAAAATGTTAGAACCTTACCCAACACATACAGCAGTACTAAGGCAAAGTCAAGGTAGGCTAGGAAAAAACAACAGCCTTGTCTTTTGGAGTTTATGGATGCTGTCATTAAGATCTCCAGCTTCTTTAATCTTTTCCCTTGGCAAACTGGCAAACTTCTTTTTTTTTTTTTTTTTTTTTTTTTTTTTTTTGGCCACATGGCCAAGCCATTTCAAAGTTCCATAAACCAAAGCAAAGCAAAAGCAAACCATTACTAAGGCATTTTCCGTGATCATTTCTAAACCTGTACTTACTGCATTATTTCAGTCACAGATGGGAAAGTGCTGCGTAAGTACAGGCCCCTATCTCAGGTATGTATGGATGAAGGATCAGTAAGAAAGTGAACTGCTCTTTGCTCATTTTTCTGGTTGTTACAGAAATGAGTAGTACATTGAATTATGGTGTCATTTATTTTTATATCTGCACAAATTAGAGTCTAAGGATTTGAGCTGTTGCTGAATAAATTTGGAAAGTAGCTTCCAAGTTGTTTCACAGGCTCAGTGTAATAGAGAAAAAATAGACCAATTAATGGAAGCGCTGGCTAAGTAAATATGAAGAAAAACCACTAACACTTCTTTAGTTTCATTTAAAATGTCCTTAGTTTTTTATTGCATGGCTTTGGAACAATAATAATAATAAAAAAAAAGCTTTTAAATATTTTCCTTTTGTTCATATGTTTAAAGGATCTTCACAAGGATTTTGTTCTCTAGGTTTTCATGCACTGCTATAATCATTCTTTGCAATAATGCTTGAATGGTGGTTGTTTTTTTCATTTTTCACTTAAAAAAAAACCACAACATATATATATATCATGATTTTTGTTTGAAATTTCAATTATCTCAGGAGTTAAATACATTATTAACATCTAGACCTCGTTGGTCGCTAGAATAAAGATACAGACATCAAAAGGGGGATGCTAAATTCCAACCAAACATTGCCTTTGGAAAACAAAGTGTGTAGGTCAAAATTAACATTATCACTTCTCCCACCAACTCTTTTTCATACTAAAGTTTAAATAGAAAATCAAAACTAAATATATTTTCCTGGAAAATGTTATGTTTATTATTTTTTGGTAAAGCATAAACTAAACCGTTTTTTTTCTTTTTCTTTTTTTTTTTTTAAAAGGCCTCCAAATCTATAAAGAATTTTCCAACCACTGCTACATGATAAACATTATTTTCCAGGCTTCTGAAAATGCATTCTCCCAATGCTTTCATGTTGTCGAAAAGTGTAAAGTTTAACGTACAGAAGATTGCAGCAAGGACTAGCCAATAAAATCTTTGTCACAAGTCTACTCACCATTTTAGGGCAACACTGAGGTCTAGAAATTTAACTGTATACCTGGCTGTTGTTCTACAAAGACCCAGTGAGTCAGAAGGGACCACATATGCATGCCTGCACATGGGATGCAGCATCACACAGGCCAGTGTGCTCTCAGACCAACAGCAAGATTTCACCACAAACAACATACGAATCAAGGATGTCTTCACAATCCCTTTCAGCTTTGGATGCTTTTTCTGTTGTATTTATTGATAGAATCCCTGCCAGTTAAATCATCCATTTTAGGAAAACAAAACAAAAGAAAAAAACCTTCCAGAATCCTTTACCACTGTTTCCTAAAATTCTGAGCACAGTAAGCGATTGTCAGACTCATATTTATAGAAAATGGTTTGGAAAACAAAGATGACAACCCTCAGCTGAGTTTGTCACATATTGCCTGAAGGCCCTGTATTATTCATCCCTGCTTGAACATGTGAACATTACTGCAGGAAGCTTACCACCCTGACATCAACTGCTACTTGTCCTCCAAAGGCAGACTGTTTGTAAGTAAGCAGTACATTCCTTTCCACACAGAACAAACAATGACAGAATACAAATCTGTTCAAAAGAGTATTCTTGTCTGAGATGGCTCAGCAGTGGATGCAAAGCAAACCAGAAAAATGAATACTACATGTATGTGCCAATAGTAAGTATTATGGTTTGTTACTCCTGAGCTACCCTGTAACTGACAGAGTTAGAGGGGGGAAAGGCAGGTGAAATGAGTGCACAAATATAAAATACATGTGTTTCATTGAGCTTGGCTTATATTTGATTTTTTATTTGATTATACTACAAAAATATTAAGAAAAAATAAAGACCTTAAGTTGTAGTAATAGGTTAATGTAGGTTGATGAATCTCTAATCCATTTAACGAGGAAATTCTTCTGGCAGATCCAGAACTGCAATACTTGAAACCCAAGTACTTCCCCATTGTCAGCAGTCAAAGATGTTCCTCAGGCTACTACTCTGTTTGAAAATCAAACTTGGAAATACATGTTTTATTGGGTTGCTTAGGGACATGGTTTAGTGGGTGACATTGGTCACAGGGGGATGGTTGGACCAGATGATCTTGGAGGTCTCTTCCAACCTTAATGATTCTATTACTCTATCACTGGAAAATTTGCTAAATTGGCAGATATTTTTCACAAACCAGGGAAAAACTTCTCACTTGTCACTTTATGAAAGACGTATTACTCTAGGAAAGATATTACTCTAGAAAACCCACTCAGCCATTATGTCTTTACTATCAGTATTACATGTTTTGTAAATCCTTCATTTAGTGAACTGCTTTAATATTTATTCCTCATAGTAGGGCTTTATCCTAAAAATGAGAGATTCTATTTCAAAGCACTAACTTAATAATGCTGTTAAAAAGCTACACTTTTACTTCTTGTGTAAGGAATGATTCAATAAAGCTTTTTAAAAATTTCAAAGTCCCATGGTAATTCACATAGCTCATCTGTGCAATTAAATCTTACTGAACTTGAGCCTAAACCTAATATGCCATCTCAGTGTATATAAGAGCAGTTCTGCGTAAGAAATTATCCACTGTAAAATATTAAGGAAACTACAGACTGTCTGGTCAATACTGGATACAGTTAATCAGTAAATTTTAACGTATAACTCAGTGATTGAATTAAAGACCAATAACTTAAAAAAATATTCACAACTTGTATAAAAGTATCTTTACTGGAAAACTTATGAAAAGGAAACTATATCATTTGAGGCAATTAAACAAATTACATTACTGACAAGAACTCAGTAAAATGTTTGCCAATCATTTTGCTTGTCCACAAGGTATTCAGTGAAAATATACAAAACAAGGTCACATTACACAAGCAACCATTTAAAAAAAGTCTATGTAAAAATAGCAATCATATTTCTAACTGCTTTTTTCCCATCTGTTTTCCGAAATACAGATATGAGGACAAACATCACTTGGATCACTTTTCAGTCTCTTCTTCAGGTTCACTGTCTTCACTATCACTGTCTCTTCCAGGGTGTTCTGGCATTGTTCGATGTTCAGCCACTTCTGCCACTTTCAATTCTTCTTCCTTTATTTCTTCTACCTTATTTTCTTCTTTTGCATCTTCCTGCATGCCTTGCACTTCAACTTCTTCTTCAGTCTCTTGAGTTGGAGTCACTTCAGCTTCTTCAGTCATGGCAGGTGGGGGCAATAAACGCTGGATAATAGAAAAAGAAGTAATTTTCAGTTTTTACAACAAACAAATAAATCATTTTAGTATCTATTCCTACTTTAGCCTAAACTGTTTGTTCATTTTAGATTTAAGGATTTGCATTAGATTAAATAACAACAAAGCCTTAAAATTTCAAAGCCTTAAATAGGCTTCTAAAGCCTTTTAGAAAGTGCCTATATAAATAAAATGTAGAGTCACCTTGGCTCACACATGGGTCTTTATTTTTTTTTTGGCATGAAGACCAGGTGTTAAAATCTCAGTACTTGACTCAAGTCAAGAGTATCAAACATTTCATTATTCCAAAGAAACACACAAGTGACAGGACCACAGTAAAGCCCTATTTGGAGCAACAACCACATTCCCACCAAAACCTCATCTATCAATCATTTTAAACTCCAAGATAAGCTGGACTCCTTTTTAAGCCTGCCTTTAACAACTTACTCCAGTAACTCAGTAATTTCTCCTCAAAACATCTTATAAAGTGTTATGTGGACATTATTTATGCAAGTTTCATCCACAGCTCTAAAAGTAGAACAATTAAAGTTCAAGTAACAGGTAAAGAAATACTTAAATATTTTTCACATACTACTTATGTAAAAGTATTTTAGTGTGTTCAAAGTGCTTTGCTCACAACCAAGAATGTGGTTTACAGGTACAAAACATTACAAGCAGCAGCTGTAAGCACGTTACAGACCTGGGGCAAACAAACAAAGAATACAGTGAGCTGAAAACTATGATGAATGCTATTCAACTCAAAAGCTGTATAGAAAATCTTATACTTCTTGCAGCTTGATATTATTTAATGACATGATAGATACTTCCTTGAATACTGTGAAGCATTTCAATGAAATGAAAATTTGATAAATCTCCTGTGGGTGATTGGTTATGTTTTGCTTAAAGGCAATTTAGCTTCTCACGTACAATTAAGCGTTTAATTATTGTAAAGTCTTATCTTCAGTTAGATGACATTAATACTACAAATTTCTGACAAGCATGGACCAAATCTATGCAGCAATTATGACTACCAGCCAATAAGTTGTTTTTTTTCTACATACTTTAAAGTTATGCTGTTCCCCATAATCCATTTGTTCACAGAAAAAAGAATGTCTAAAAATCAGAGATCCTTTAATTACAAAAATATGCATCCTCAACACATGAGACTTCTCTAATGAAGTTAGATTCATACTGTGCTTTGTGACTAGTACTGTGAGGGCCAAAGGAAAAGAATACAAAAAGAATAGAAAGAATACGAAAAGAATACAAAAATAATAGAAAAACACCATGTTGTATTAGAAAGGGTAAAAAAACAAAAAAAAAGCTTTATGTCTACATTTTTTTTTTTTAACTTAACTCTTTGGCTACTGCTGCAAGAAGAGCGTGATTCATTTCCACAGTAGGAAACCAGTGTTTTTTTTTTTTTTTTTAAAAAAAAAAAAAACTAATTTTAGCTAGCAATGTAAGATTAGGATGCTAAAAGAAATAGCTGGTATTAGCAGAAGGTTCAGCTGCATATTCAATTAGAGAATCAAGCAAACCCATCTTTTGGTAAAATTCGGTTGCTACCATCTGCTTTTCAGGACATTCATACACTTCTGAGTGTAACCAATTGCACAGTCCACTGTCTCCTCATTAAATGCAATCTGCAATACACAGCTACAAGAAACGATTTTACTGGTATCATTCTTCTTCTTTACTCCCTTTCTTTACTACAGACAGGTAATTCAAGCATTTCCCCGAAACAGCAAGAAAGCACCCAGCCTACTTGGCAAAGACTTGTTCTAGGTAGCAAAGTACTTAAATTTGACTGAAACTATATTGCCCAGAAGAAAAAAAAAATAATCCATGATTCATTGAGAAAAAGAAATTGAGGAAAATAAATGTTCCATCTGTAAGTATGACATTAAGCTGAGAGAGCATTTTAGGTTCTGATCTCTACTTGTTACGCAGTTCTGATATTAGATGAAACAGTCATTGGAAGAAGGAAGGAAGAGGTGACAGAAAAACACCCCTGCATTAATGAACAGAACTTAGATCTCAGAGACAAGCACCCTATTCAGGAATGGAGAGTCATGCTCACACTCTTTCCACAGTCAGCTAGAAGAAAGTGAGTAGTGTTCCTTTTACATCAATTTCTTCTGCCTTTGGAAATTCTTCAGAAGAGCAAAAATCAACAAGGAAGCTATACAGAGTACCATGTAAGAATAGGTTATAACTAATATAACTGTAAAATACCAAGGTATTAAATGTAAGGTGTTGCAGTTCAGGGATAACAAAGACTTCTCTCTCTGTTTACTGTCAACTATCCCTAAGCATCTACAGATCCAAGTGCGTTGACTAAAGGCAGCTCTCTGTATAGCATTTAAACTGTTTTAAAGCTCTGCTCATGTACATGATAAGGAGTCAAGGTGTTTCTAATGTTTTCTGCTCCAGGGATTATGCAGTGACAAAATTAGGAACAAAAGTGAGAAAGGATCTACCCCCACTTCTAAGACCATACTACTTAGCTTGGTGCTGAACAAGTCCTGATGAAAAGTTCCACTAGACACTGCAGCTGCTAACCAGCCTGGATAATACTGCCAGCTAACTTGGTTAAAATGATTTGAAGACATGACCTAGTCTCTCTATACACAGCAGCCATGTCATGAAAATATCTATTACAAAGCATTATCACACCATGCTGCAGTGCTGTAACATTACTAGCTGCACTTACCTGAAGCATAATGCACAAGTTTACCTCAAGTAAGTATCAAACAGACTAGATATTCAGTATTAATAAGGAATTTTGCGGCCCAGACAGAATTATTTTAAGCACTCAGCACTAGTTATGGCTATTTTGGGGGCCTTAAATTGGGGCCTAAGTTAGTAAAAGATGCAAATCCTGCTACTGCAAGATGTTAGAGACATCAATATTCTCACTCTCAGCCATAAAACCTTCTTGAATTCTAAACATAACAGCATTCTAAACATAACAGCAACAATCTCAAACCTCAACAGTATCCCTAGTTACTTACTGAAATTTATGTTATTTTAGGTATGCACCTTCCAATGGTAAGAAGGCCCTTACCTGTTGGTAGTGGCGTGTACTCTGTATCATGTGCATATACATGTTGTACACAAAGTTAGCCATCTGAGGCATGTTCTTAATAACATGTATTTGGTGAGATGGTCGTTCTCCGTTCTAAAGAGGAAAAAAGTAGAAATTCAGCAAGCAAAGCAACACAGCCGTTATCCAAAAAGTTGTTATACTGTTTTAGGAAACGTAAACCCAGTAAATGAAAAAATGCTTTTTAAAGAAAGAAATAGCTAAATTCTTTTTGAATGGTAGGAAATGTGGGAATTGCATTTTGAGTGACTGGATTAACCATGACACTGCAGCCCAACGAAGAAATTTCATTTCAGAAGGACAGGCTGGGTTCCAATACTTAATCCATGAAGTACACTTAGGACTCCAGTTATTTAACTCAAGGCATAAATAGTTTCAGCTCACATTAGCCTACTTGTCTGCCAGAAACCACCTCATCCTTGCCTACACTCACACTCTCTCTGACCACGTACACTTGTACACTCATTCTTTGTTGCAGAATAGACCAGTTTCAACAGAAAGACTCCCTCCCAAACATGTCATCAGTATTTAAGACCAGGTAAAGATTTCTAATTGAGTTTTGGATTCATGCAGGTACCCTCCTCAAAGCTTCAGACAGCAAAGCAGACATGTTCCTCCAGTTCTTATTTGGTTGTTTAGCATCCTACTCATTGAGTGTCCTGTACTTAAACACTTAATGTTTTACTAAAGTTCTAGTACAACATTACATTTTTTTTGTATTTATATACCTTGCTCAGCAACAATTTTAATTGCTATCCTGAATTACTCAGTCAAATGCAATTTTACCAATATTAATGAAAAGCAATTAGCTTTGTGTTTTTTTTTTTTTTTTTTTTTTTTTTGAGAAGTGACATTTATTTGTTTTGTAACAAGACTAAAATTACATAACACTGGAAAACCCTACATACTTATCCAAAAATAAAAATGCAGAATTACTTTCACAGGCAGAACTTCAGAAAAAAAAAGCAGGTATGACTGATAAATTAATTTTGTGGAATAATCAATTAAGAACAGCTGGTATCGTGATAAAAGTTAACTCCAGGGACATAACTATCCAAGGAGCATTGATCTAACAGTGAAGACACTGCATTCTCGTCTCTTATATCTCACTTAAAGGCAGGCAACAAGTACACCCCATTGCAGACAGCAAAATTCACAGTAGCTGTTCCTACCTGTCTTGCTGCTGGAAAACATTCTGTGGGAATTATATGGAGGTGAAGTGGTCTAGCTGTGAGCTGGCTGAATGCTGGAGTTAGCTCAAAACAGTTCTGAAACAGAGATACTCTTGCAAAGATATAAAGGCCAAGCCTGGCTCTTGACATGGCAACAACTAATCGTCGGACATCCCTTCAAAAAAACAAATAAATTAGTCATGTTCTTTCTCACTGACGATACAATTCCAACAAAAGTAACAAGAAGTATGCAGAAGTCTTAACTAAAGTAACTATAAAGGCATCTGCTAAAATACTATTTTGTTTTCAATTTTTCTTCCTACTATAGTTTCAATAACAAACAAAATCCTAGAACGTTTACATAAAAGAGAGCTCACTACATTGTTAATGATATGAAACTCACCCTTTAGCTCTAAAGTCCAGAAAAACAGTTACGTTTTATAGTTAAGTTTTACATTGGGAATAAGTCACAACTGCCTGTCTGTATCCCTGAAAATACGCATTCCGTAACTCATCTCGCTGCTGCTGAGTAAGTCTTCCCCCACCCAACCCCAAAACGGAAGAGCAAACATTTTAAACGGCACATGATGACACAACTTCGGCAGCAAACAGTTCTGATACAAAACAAAACGCTCACTTATGGAAAATAATCTATAAGAAATTTTAAGCCTGCATTTATTCAACAAGCATTAATTGCATTCCTATTTATCTACTTAAGGTGAAACCAAGTTCTGCCCACCTGCAGCAGTATACACTTCTTATTGTGTAAGAGCCATTACTAAAGGATAAAGTGGATGTAAAAAGGGAAGCAGACAGTTGTAAAAAGGAACTGGGTCTGAATTTCATTCAACGTACAGTACTAAACTTCATTTCTACCGTATACTGAAAAAGTTGAACATTTTTGCATAATGTTTTCACATCAGAAATATGTTTGTAATATGTGCACCTTAACGTCCCTACAAGAGTATTTTCTTACATACCTAAGGTGGCCTACAGCTTTGGTACGCACTAGTGACAGGAGGATATAATCATTTTGTTGGCCTTGAAATCTGTCCACAGTTGTTACCTAAACAATCAAAAAACAACAAACTAAATAGGTTAATCTTTGCCATTTCGATTACAATGTGATATCCAAATTTTAACATCAACTTCCTATTCAGACTGTATTAAATAAGAAAGGAAATGAGAATGTTTTAATTCTGTTTTAGTTGACCTCTAACAAAAGATCATCGAATTCCTCTTTCTGGGAGATGTGAGAGTAACAGTACACAGAGTCACTTTTTTATTCAATTAGGACAGCTAACTGTGGAGTACTAATAAAAAAAAAGCTTGTGGAAAGCTACCAGTGTATAGAATTTTAACCTGCAGACACCAGAATTTTGTCAATATTATTTATTTGTAAATATTATTTGTTCCTAAGATTCTTCATCATGCATTTTATCAAATTGCCATTTCTACTCTGGGTGGATATTTCTCATTTATTTATTTAAAAGGCAGACAAAATAAATGACAAAGAATAATATTCTGTCCTGCGTAGTCAGTGGCCTATCAAACTTCACTGATTTTGCAATTTCTTTGTATGACTAATTACAAAACAGGCAAAAAGAGTAGTGAAATTCCGCAGAATGCAAGTTAGTAAGTATGTGCTGTGACTCCATTCAATCAGACTGAACAGATTCAATCATGTCATGTCATGTTATAAACACAATAATCATGAAAAAACAGAACCACTCTAATGAGCGATATATTCTGAAAGTCACCTTGTTTGGCCGTCCGATCAGGGGATTATTTCCACAACGCTGGTTAATGACATCACGGATCAGGTGTTTCTGTCCATTGTATGTTGTCAGGATGCTTATCTTGTCTGCAGGGTAACCGAGCAGGCACATATACATGAATAGTGCCACAACATACTCTGCTTCACCAAGATTCTTAAGTTCAAAAGGAAGGAAAAAGAAGATACTCATTTTGTAAGGTTGTAAAGAACAACTGTCTATTTAGAGAAAAATCTCAGGGCTGAAACATTTACAGATCTGTTGATTTCACTTCATAAAAGTCATTTTGAAGGAATAAAAGAATCACAAGTAAGTTTAATAATTGTGATCCCTCTTCAGTCGCAAAACTGCTGAAAATCTGTCAACATTATTGTTAGGCAACAGATTTAGACTTTCCAGTATCAATTGACGAGTACTCAGTTTTATTTCAATTAAATTCTAAATATTTAGTACTCCTCAAATGTATTAAAATGTTTAAAAGAAGTTAAGTGTGCTATATATGGAGTGGTAATTCATGTCGAGAAAATGGTTGATATTAATAAAGAAGGGGGAGATTTGGGAGTGTGACCATGGGGGTCAGAAAGCCCCGTGGTTGATAAGATTAGACTCTTAACGAAGAGGCCATCAGGAATATAAAAGAGTTTTGAGGGAACAAAGAAGGGTGATTCAGGAGACTCCATGCAGTCTTGGGTTGTTTGTTCTCCAGCCATTAAGGCATGGAAGTTTCTGGGTGTTTGCCATTGCTGTTATTTGCAAAGTTGTTTGACCAATGAAAAGTTGTTTTTGAAAAGGACTGCTGTGGGGAGAAGGTTATAAGAGGGGAGCCTGTCCTCAAGATAAAATTAAGGCAACACGATATAATAAAGTTATGTCATCAATAGAGAAGCAAAAAGAAGGAATGAAAAGGAACAGGCTAGCAGAATGGAGACCGGAACGGGAAGAGGCACATTGATTGCCTCATGAAGATAGGCTCGGCCAAACTCAGCAAACCGCTCAGAGAAGCTCATACAGAAAGTTGCTGGAAATGGGCGCACTGGAGCTGGACAGAAGCTCAAGCTGAGAGAAGCAGACCTGTACACACAACTGCCCCTCGCTGGTAAGCGGTTGCGCATTATGGGGAATCATACGTCCTTAGAAACAAGGACTGTCCTGGTAACCTTACAGCTTATTCTCCTTATTAACAATCAGACAGTTTATGATCCTGAAACATGGGACCAAATTAAGGTCAAGGTGTGGGACTCTGCAACTGAAAATGGCAAGGTTGCAGTGGGATTGCTCGGCACCTGGCGAGCAGTCTCTGAGGCCTTAAAGAGCCCTGTGGGACCACAGTCAGAAACGTGTGGTTTGCCAGACAGTGAGGGAGCTGCGGGCTCCTTTACTGATCCGACTGCTACGCCATCGGCCCCTCTGCTGCTACAGCCATCGAAGGCTTTTGCTGTTATGCCCCCTGCTGACCTGGACGTGCCTTTTGACCCAGGCCATATTGTCCTTGAAAAGGAGATGGATATGCTTTTCTTCGATCCAGGAAGAACGGGATACATAAGGCCTGAAGGCCGAGTTGCTTGACAACTTAAAGCAAGACATATTGCTCAAAAGGAATGGAAAATGGGGACTGTTAAGTCATGGAACTTAAAGGATTGTTTGTTATCTTTTCTGATTGCATGTATGTATAGGCATACTCGGGTTTAGTATGTAAAAGCAATATTCTGTATATTTAGAATGTTTGATCTTCGTGTGTGCGTGTTGGTGCAGTGTAGACTCCCCACACACCCAGCGCTGATTACTTGCCTTTTATAAATATTACTAAATTCAGATTGAGTTGATACTTCATTTATAACAAGTGTTAATATTTAAATTATATTCAAAGACGTAAATATTTACATATTTGCACCTAATGCATTTATATACTTGACAGCCCAAAAGAACCTCCACTTTAATGTATTTCTACAGAACTCAAGAAGTGTTAATACAAACTTTTTCTTCTACTTAATATACCAAAAACACACCTCTTATTTAGAACTGTGGAATTATAATTCCATGTTAATAGCATTAACGCTATTAAAGCATTAATAGTTGATAGTCTACAGATATCAGTATTTACATGTAAGGGGTTTAAAACAGAAACAAACAAAAAAAAGAGGCAAACAAACAAAATCTGTGTAGCAACAGTTTAACAAGTTTTTAAACAAGCAAGCAAAAAAAATTGCAGTGAATCACTCTCCAGTATGCTCAGAAAAAGAGCTCATTGAACTAGAATAATGAAACTCCTGTCAACAATTAATTAGACAGACAGACACCTGGATTATCAAATCCAGTTATTTCTATTTCAGGCCACACCTATTCAATCTCAAAGTATCTAATGTTAAAGTATATTTCCTAACTTTTCTAAGTAAAAAAAAAATAAATAAAATAATAATAATAATAATAATAATAATAATAATAATAATAATAATAATAATAATAATAATAATAATAAAAAAGACAGTTGTCCCAGAGCATCACTCCTTTGGCTCTAGGAGCTTTTGTCCAATTTTCAGAGTTAACTTATTCATAGCCTGTTTACATCCATTTTCTGTGAGCAAAAATATCTTTCAAGTTAAAACGTTATTCTCAATTGTGGAATTTTATTCTTCTTATATTTATACAAGGATCTTATGGCCACTTAGCATGTGTTTGACCAGGCTGGACATGTCAGCCTCATTTATTTTTTCTTATTATTAAGGGGGTTCTGCTTTACTGCGGTTCCAGCAGACAGCTTTTTACTACTTATATGCTACAGTGTTATTGCTTAAACTCCAACACCAAAAACTCTCCCCTCCAAACAACCATCACCCCAAGCTAGAAATGATAAGCAGTGGACTCTGGCTCACACCTTTGTTTCATTCAGTAACAGCATGCTAGTTCGTATTTAAAAAAATAAATAAATAAAATAAAAAGCAAGAGGAACCAAGCATACCCTATGAATACCTTGCAAAAAAACAGATTAACATTCTCAATGATCTCTGTAAGCAAAAAAAAAAGTGAACATGCATATTACTAGCTTAAACTATATTGAACTATATTGTTTGCATTCCATAACATTAAACAAGATAAAAGGTGTTAGTTCTCTATTTGTATTAAATTCATTAACTTGCACACAAATCCAGCTTCTAATTTTTTGGAAAACCCAAATAGATTATTTAAGTGCCAGAATGTTCCCATCTTTGTTTTTAAAACAAAATTTTAGTGAAGAAGAATAAGAGAACTGAAAATGTAAGCATCTCACTACAAGTGTCAAAGGATTTCCTATTTTAAACAAATAGATAAAGGCTGTTGTTGCTGGCTTAATTTGAAGATTTAGTCAAGAAATTTCAAGGCTAAGCTTTTCTTTTGCAATTCACTTCACCCTCAATGTCTCTCTGCTTCTTATGCATACTTGTAGTACCGTTTCTTTCTTTTATGAATGGGCTCTTTTGCATTCTTATATACAGATCAAATTAAAACACTGCCACAGAGCAAATGTTGATCCTTCATACAGAGAAATGCTTGTGCTTATTTCGTTATCATGACAGTACAGCAGCCTTTAATTTGCCACAGGCCAAAACATTGTTTCATAATGAATTATGCACCAAATCTCTGCCCCAACCCAGTAACTTTGAGAAAATGGATACAGCAAGCAGTCATTCACTTTGAGCAAAAAAGCACAACGTAACACATTATCACCCTTTTCAGCATTCAAAACTTATTACGAGGAGAAAAAAATATCATTCATATGCATGGCTGTGTTATCTGAGAACATAAGACTTTAACAATACTGTAAACTGATGTTTCACTGAAGATTTAATAAGCCATATCCAGATTAAATACACTATCCACTATTTCTCTTACCTGATAGAAATAAGGATTGGGTTCAGACTCTCCCACACCATTGAAGTCTTCTACATTTATAAGCTGGAAGTCATACAAAAACCCAGCGTTGGCTGTTCTAAACTCCGGCATAAGTTGGACATGAGGCAGATTACCCAGATTCTTATAGCGCCAGTTGTAGAGGTTACATAAACTGTCCAAAACCACACAGATAAAAATAATTAAAGGTGAATTCTTGAACTTAGTACTTTTTTTTTTTTTTTTTTTTCCTATTTTGTCTGGTTCTTCTTTCACATAAAACTGTAGACTTCTTTCTAGAAAGCATACAAATCTGGCTAATTCTTTACATCCTCATCACAAATGGTTGTAACCTGAAGTGAATTCCCCCTTCTCCCGCTCTATGGCATCTTATACTAAAGAACTATACATAATTATATATGTATGTACATATATACATAACTATATACTAACTATATATAACTATACAGAACTATACATATGGCATCTTATACATAGAGAACTGCTGGCAGAAACTGAAAGAACCACAGTATATTTTGCAAACTGAGAACAAAAAACAAACATTCTAATAGCAAAGTTTTCAGAAAGGGTTTTGGCAGATCTGTTCAAATGCTGCAGCTAACAGAAATTTCCTGTGGTAACTGAACATTGTCACGGATAGCCTTAATTTATCTGTGGATTCCCAAAAAGGCAATGTGATTTACCTCTTTAGGAAGAATTTGGGTATTAGAACCTGGTATTTAAGCTATTAATGAAGAAGCTAGAGGCAAGGAAGGGAAACTAAATTGCTAGATTACACACATGAGCAATTCAGTTGCTTAACTACTACCTTCTTTTAAATATTTTTTCCTGCAGTGAAACACTACTGTATAGAGAATTACTCTGTGACGTCTCAAGACTGAATTCTTTCCTGCCACTAACCAAGGTTATGAGGTCATAACCTTGAATGCTTAATTCCTTCATTTCACTTTCATCTTCCATAAATGTGGAAGAAGGTGGATGGAGATCATTACTCACTGTTATTTCAGATTAAATTGGGGAAAAGCCTGACATGCTCCCCATTTCTGCTTTGTTTTGAAGTCAGAACAAGTCATCAACGCAAAGCAGTAGGCTAAAATCATAATAAATTTGGACAGTCATGATCTTGCAGAAAAATCTCATACCACCCAGTGATGTGATGCAGTTGTGACAAACTCACACCATGAGCTTAGAAGGACATTTTATTTAGAACTAAACTATCAGTCTGAAACAGGACAGAAGCCTAAAAAAAAAAAAAAAGTCTCTAACAGTTTGATCACCATCTTCTCCCCACAAGATAAGCTGTACATTGAGAGGTAAACAGGCAAGTGGTCCCCTCACATTTAAGAATTTTGATTTGTCCCCTTAATGTTGAGCCAATATGTAAACATTTTTTGCCTGAAGGATATGAATATACTCTGTATGTGGTTGGGGATAGAACTGATAACTTAGCTACAGGGCCGGTTTGACAAATAAGTTTTAAGCCTGATCTAAGTAAGTGTTGATGAAAAGTGTACTGTAACTACACAGACTGGCCAGCTTGTAACACAAGAGGTCTGCCTGCAAAACGCAAAGAAGCATCTCATTCACAGAAGCATACATGCATGTCTGGCAGAAACTCAGTACAGTAGTGTCTCAGCCATAAGCCTGCTCTGCCTGATCAGCTCTCCATTGAAGGGTACAAATTTCACAAAGAAATCTAGAAGGCATTTTAACATTACAAAATTTAAGAAATATTAATGCTTCTTTACAAGGAAGAAAGGAGTAAGGGCAAATGGATTTTCTGTATTATTTGTTGTAAAGACTCTTACTGCAAAATGAATTTTATTTTCTTATTTTGTGCGTTGCCATGTATTAACTGAAAAGCAAAGGGAAGCTGACAAAAATCTATACAATTCTCAATCATCCCTGTTACTTTCAGGGACAGTAATATAACCAAAATGCCGCAATCAGAAATGCAGAACAATATCCTAACCAGGTAAAGTAACAAATACTTCATGGGGCAGTTACCTATGAGCACAAAAGTAGAAAGGTATGGAAATAATACTTGATCAAGAAACTTTCTTCACTTTGCAAACATTCTGCTGTTCCCTCTGAGATGTTGTAAAATAGTAGATGGCAAAATAAGCTTCATTTATCATCACACTGAAGCATAATTTGCATTTTTATATCATAATGTAAATAACTGTTGTCCATATGGCTAGAAAATAATATTCTAAAAGCCAACGTTTGTTAAATGAAAAAAGTTCTTCAAATTGTTCATTCTACTTTATACCTAAAAAAAAGACTAGGGTTTAAGACAAAGCATGTTTTTATATATATATATATATATGCATACATATATGATTTATATGGAATCATTTTCTCTTCTTTGGTTTTATTTTTCCTTATTAATAAGATGCCACAAATATGAATAAATTTGATATCTAAATTGTCATACTGAAAATGTCAGTTAAATAGATAAAAAAATAAAAGTTCTCTCTTACTATGAGGAATAAGTATCTATCTATGCACAAAAAGGCATTATGTTCTTGGGAGGACAACCTGTCTGACTATCAGGCAGAGCTGAAGCTCATCTGAAATCCCGTAATAAAAGCATCTTTTTGCAGACCTTATGAGGAATAGCAAACATTTATTTAGCCTTGAATATATTAATTCAGAAAAGGAATCTTAAAAAAAAAAAAAAAAAAAAAAAAAAAAGCTAACCTTCTGGGGGAGGTTACTCTGGGGGAAGGAATACTCAGAATACTACTATATAAAATAAAGCCAATCTTACTGCATTTCAGCAAAGTAAAAACTGCCTTCTAGTCTAAGCTAGTCTAGTCTAACCTGAAACAACTGGAACAAAATATAAATCACAGTTTTGCAAACTCCTGTCTTGATAATCTAGTTTCCAATACTATACATGCATTTTTCCACTTGACCTGGTATTAGCTACACATGCCATTTTCTTTAGCTTACCTTGCTCTTGCTCTTCCTTGTGCATCCAAATCAACAGTCGGTACTCCAACACGAACAAACCGTGTGAAGAGGGACTGCTCCATGTTGGAGTATTTTTGAAAAGCCATGTTCTTAATGACTGGTGGCAACTGGTGATGGTCACCAATCATAATCCACCGCTTCAAACGACTGAATCCATCCTGAGGGTTCTAGAATTAATTACATAATTGTAAGTATTACAATATAATCAAGGCACTCAATTACAACACGTTAATAGTCAAATTAGTTGTCTAAACCCTAAATTTTATTCTTAAGCTACACTGAACTGCAATCATTTTAAAGACAACTATTAACTTCTTTCTAATCTCTATGTTGCCTGCCTTTCAAGTGTTTTTGTGGTTCATATGCTTCTCCTGTTTACCTCTAGAATTCTCACATTTTCTCTTCCATGACCAAGATGTGTCACCATGGCTCTTGGACTGAAAGCCCTTCAGTATGTTATGCATAGCTGTTTCCAGTTCCCCATCGTCCTCTGTGTACCTACGTTAAGTACTGAGAAAGTTCATGAAGGACTATTTTAACAGAGGGATGTAAAAGGAACAGATGTGTGGGTAACATTACCCTGGAATCAGAATCCTGAAGATTTCTGACTGCCAGTTTTTACAGTTCTGACCCTGTTAGTATAAACACTCCTCTGATATTTCCCTGTCTCCATGGGAGAACTATTCAAGACAGAGCCTGAAGCTCCTTTTCTTGCCACTTAAAGAACTCTGAAGCCCTCTCTGATCAGGGAGCAAGGAGGGAAACTGCACTCTGGACTGTCCACCTCATCAAGCCTGAAGATTCCTTAAGAAAGGAAGAAGATGAAAAATATTTTCAATAGCTGGGAAAAACACTATTTCCTTTTCTCCAAAAAAGATTATTGATTTGGAGAAGTCCAAGTATACTACATTCTGCTCTTATCATCAGTTTTAATCTCAGACAGCAGAGAGCTCTCTGATTTTTTTTTTTTAAAAAACCTTCTTGCTCTGAATTACAAGTGCAAGAAATCAAGTACTACTACTTTGTAAGCCTATTTTTTTTTTAAACAACCAAAAAAAACAACCAAACATAAACAAACCAGTCTCAATTTTCAGTGACTATTTGAATGGCTCCTCAAAGAATGATCATGGGATATCCCACAGAATGTAGCTTTATCATAAAAAAAAAAAAAAAGTTTTGCCTTCATTACAGAAGTCTTCAGCTTCTGCATTGCTTATATATGCAGAAGCCCTTATATATGCAGTGAAGGCCCTTTCCCTTCACTAACCTGATGCATCATGTTATTCAGTATTCATTCAAATAGTTAAAAAACACTACATGATGATTATTTCACTAAATGGAATAATCTCATTATAAATGAAAACTGTGGAAAGAGCCATGCAGGAATTATTCATTACGCAGCACTACAGTAGCATTAAATTCAAGACTGCCAAAAGGCAAAAACAACATTCTGGAGTATAACACTTGTCTTTGAACAGAGATTTAAATAACCTAAGCTTCTACAGACCAGCTTGCATGAGAAGCCACCCAAACTACAACTTATGCTTACATACTGTTATGACACAGAGATATCTAACTAAGCAGAAATCTCCTTATATTTCAGTTTCCCTAATTTCACTGCTGTTCTAGAGACTACAGTGAGGGCTCATCAAGTCCACAGGACATAAAGAAACCAAGTCCATTCCACTTTATTATTGTAATTGCTGAACTAATAAGTGAAAGAGAGCAGAACTGTTCCTGTTTTATGACTTGCAAAAAGCTTCAAGTTTGATTGCTCTCCATACGCCCCCCAAAAGACAGAAATATGTGCTCCTCTTCGGAGTTCAGGCCATATTTGGGGTTTAGATGGTAAAATAACTAGTTGCCTCCCTGCTCTGAATTATCAAAACTCGGTCATCTTTACCAAATCAAAAAGGTGAAGAAGAACCATGTTAATGGCCCCAAAACAGAAGAAACCTGCAGTAAGTCTGAACACAGGACTTGGTCTTTAATAGCAGTATCTTGGATACACACATTCTTTTGTACACTAGGCCCATACGGAGTTGCTTTCCTGCAACTGTATTTGAACTTCTATTGTTAAGGAGCAAAGCGAAAAATTATAAATCTAACCAATATTTCATGGAGTTTCTGTCATGCCTTTTTCAACTGACATTAAGTTTCCTTTGGAATGAAAGTCCGAGCTTGGATGTGGTTTTCTAGAGGAATTTAAATCATTGTTTTTCAATAAAAATATTTGCTCCAAGCAAAACATCTAAAACGGAAACTTACTTCTAGAAAATGAACAGTCTCTGTATTTTTTTAGAAAGCCACAACACTAAGAATCAAACAAATAACACACACTGTTTTAAGTTTCACCAGCTTCCCACACATCATCTTCTGATTTGCAGCTAAAGAGTTTGCAGAGTTCCTGAGGGAGCCCACACTTCCCTTCCAATGGTGAATTTTTATCTCACATTAATCTGAGATTACAGAGATAACTTGAAAGGGGTTGAAATTGTCATTTAAGCTACTGGTGTATAAGAAGCACTGTTTGTTTACTTAGGAAGGCCTACAGCTCTTAAAAGTAGGTGGTGATGCAGCTCAAGCTCAGGATGCCAAAACCAACCCCAGAGCTGAGCCAACAATCTTCACCAGCGGCACAACAAATTTAAAGACAGGCTGATCTTAGAAGGATAAGAGTAAATGTTTTTAGGGAAAGATATGCAACTGTAACAGTGTTAGCCCTCTACTACATCAATCCCTTACATTACAAGGGTAGGAGACACATTTCTTTGCATACAGAGCTACTGCTTTCTAAAGACTGTCCTATAAACATACCACATGTCACACTAGCTTCAGTTTCCTTCCTTCCTTGCATTAACGGCACCCTTCCAACTGCAAGACTTCTATTCAACCATATCACATACACATTCCTTTTATAGCTACCAATTATTGGTTTGCCAAACAGCGTAAGCAGCAGTTGATACCAAACCAAGCATTTACCAACTTAGCTAAATAAAAGGTGCAAAATTATTGGCCCAAAGCAGACATAGTAGAAACAGTAACTTTTTGTTGTTTGCTGTTTTTGTTTTTTTTTCTCTCCTTGTGGTGTTATCATCATTAACATCACTTAGAATGTCTCCTCTTTACTTGGCTACAGTTTTCCTCAAAGTTGTAGATACTTGGTATCCACTTTATCTCTGTTATTTTTGACTGAAACTGAACAAGCAACACTGGCAGTCAGGATGACAGAGAGCACTTATGATCCTGGGAAACAAAGTTAGAGCAGTTATTTCATAAAAACTGTTAAAAAATATTATTTATTACAACTAGCAATGACTTAGCAATATGTATTAAATGAGAAAGAATACAAGTAAGAAAGTGACAAAGCTAGTTCACTTAAATATCTTCATGCTTCCAAAGTGAAACCCTGATAGTACTACTACTTAGTCGCAGGTATGTAAGACAAACAACTAACGAAGAATAACATGAGAATTCTTACTGTCTGCTCAATGGGAAATACAAGTTCTATTTTACTTTCTGCACATGATACTTTCCTTTCAATATTTGGTATTGTTCAAGAACACAGACTTTCAATTACCATTTTTTTGTAGCATGTTTTATAATTTAGGTCTGACCTGCAACAGGAGAGGTATAAAGGTCTCTATCTCCAGAATCTGTGCAGACTCCTCCATTAAGATGTTGTCATACTGAGAAAATAAAAATAGAGATGCCTATCAGCCAAGTAATACAAGCCAATGTTGTTATTCAACCTACCAAAAACAAGCATCAATTGCTTATTTAGGAAATTAAAGTTTTTTTCATTAGTAGGACAATTACAGCAACGTCTTCCTTTATAGGCAAAATATCAGTACTACTAAGTCAGTGCCAGTGGGTGAAATTCTACTACATCAATGGCAAATCCATCTGTACCTATCAGGCTTTACATCTAGAAAAAAAAAAAAAAAAAATCAATGACTGAACTACAGGATATGCTTCCCATATGCCATAATCCATCCCTGATGGAAAAGCATTCTACAGTGGAGCAAACTAATTTGGAATTCTTGTAGTGAATTAGAAAAGGTGCCCTTTTGTGATCCAATGGAGTCCATTATAGAAGAAAAATACAAAAGAATTATTGGTGGTAATTTTTTTTTTTCCACATCTGTCGTAAATGAATACTTAGGGTTAACACTGCAGAGTGAAAATAGCACTGCATTATAGCTATTTTTCTCAAACTGATCATTTTTTAGGTAAGCAAAGTTAGAATAGACATGTTTTTCCCCAATTCATCCTTTATTTTATCACCCAATCATATCACTGCAGTTCACCTCATATGGCAAAGCTAACTTATTTTTATGCGCATACACTATTAAGCATTTCAATATATGTAATTTAAAAGCAATCTCATATTTTACTTACAGAACCAGAAGTTAAAATTCTCTTCTCTAAAATTACAATTAAAAACAGAGGTAAAAATATGCAACTCAAAATAATCTAGATGCAAAGAATTAAGAGAGATAAAGGTCTAAATGAAGCAGGGGGAATGACTAAAAGAAGAAAAAAAAGTGTAGTATCACTAATGTCATTACTTTGAAACCTAATTCAACTAGGTCGTGTCGTTTCAGAGCAGCGTGGGTACAAGTCATAGCAATGATTTTTGCTTCTTTCACCAACAGATATTTGGATCTATCCAGGCCACTGCGGAGAAGTTCAAATGCTCTGAATTCCTGTTGTAGAAAAAAGAAATTTTGAAGAACAGAATTAAAAAATAAATAAAAATACTGCTTATGAAACATATTCACTGAAACTATCTATCTGTCCACATTTTTAGTAAAATTAAGCAAGAAAATTATGAATATGTACTGTTAACAATTCCATCTTGGATTTTTATCTATTCATTTGTATCCTAAACCTGGAGACAACAGGATTTCAAAACATAAGCTTGTTAAAGTATATCCAAGAATTCTGCAACCTGTGTGCATATGAAAATTCTCAGACCATTATTCAGTTGACTCTCAGGAGCCCTCCCCTAAACAATTTTGCTTTACTGGTTCTTCGTATTTTCATTCTGTCCTCCACTCCCCTCCCTTTTTTAAACAGCATCATAACATCACATCTAATATTAGAAAGGCCAATACAGGTAATATGATGAAAAGATACCCTGATAACCCTTACCTTAGAGCTTTTAAAAGCCTCTCAAGCAATTTTGGGAAAAAAAAAAGATAAACCATTTATGTTACACTTTTAGGTTATCTGACTAAAGGCAAATCACTGTAAATACAAAGACCCTGTAAGGATCAAGGGAACAGTGAGTGATAAGTGCACCAACTTTAGTAACATAATCAGTGAAAAAGAAGCACATAAAATGTGTGCTTCTCAGGCTTAAAATAAAACAGATTAGACCCTTGTCTCTATTGTGGTGGACACCTGAATTACTCAAAGAGGGAAGTTCTCACCTGAATGCCGCCCTGCAATCTAAAGAAGGTGCCTAAAGGCATATATTGCTTTTAGGATTTAGGGCAAACTGTATTTCGCAACTGCGTAAACTTTCTTTAGGATTAAGCAGATTCATTTACCTTTCACAGTTACACATCACTTACCTCAAGCTGAGTGAATATTTTCTTAATATGTCTAAAACAGCCTTCAGCAATCTCCATATCTTCTTCATAGGATTTGCCTTTGAAAATTGGTTGAGGAGCATTTGCAAAATACTGGTGAAAAGGAAAGAAACTGGACACGTCTGTAACATTTGGCAATTTTCCACCTTTAACTTTCACTTTGCTGATATATTCCTCCCAACGGGACATTACCTATAGTAAACAAAAGTGTCATGCAGATGTGTTTTTAATGTAGTGAAGTCATTGGACAGTTACCATCTTGCACACTTACTAAATAAAATAACTGCTTTTAATCACAAAACCAAGATGTCTACATTAGCATTTGATCTTGTATCAGGAGGACATTTTCAAAGCTGTGGTGCAGTGTGTCGATGTTGGCTGGATGCCAGACCTACACCCAATAACTCTATCACTGAACCTCCTCACTAGGATGAGGGAAGAAAATACGATAGAAAAGCTTGCAGCTCAAGATAAAGACAGGGAGATTACTTACCAGTAAGCCAGAGGCAAAACAGACTTGACTTGGTGAAAATTAATTTAACTTAATGTCAATTAAAAATGGAGTAGGACACTGAGAAACAAAGACAAAACTAAAAGCACTTTCTCTTTGCACCCTCCCCTCCTTTCCAAGCTCAACTTCACACTCTTATTCCTGACCCTTCAACCTCCTTTTCACCCTTCCTGAAGAGCTGTTCCAGCATGGGTCCTTCCCCTAGGGTGCAGTTCTTCAGAAAACAACTTCTGGCCAGGAGCCTGCTCCAGCATGGGTTCTCCAAAGGCTCCAGCTTTCTTTAGGATACCTAAAGAAAGGGTACCGCCTGTTGTGGCATGGACCTCCACAGAGTGGAGTGTGAGTATGTGTTCTTTTGTGGCCCTTTAGAGACTGACAGAGGACAGCCTGCTCGACTATGCAGTCTATGGAGAGGACAGTCCTCTCCATAGACTGCAGGAATTCTCTGGCACCTGGAGCACCTCGTCCCCTCCTGCACTGACCGTGGTGCTTGCAGGGTTGTTTCTCTATCTCCTATGCCCCTCCCTGTCTCCCCAGCCATCAGTCCTCTTTCACAGCTGGAGCGATGTGAGATGTTTTTTCATCCTTTTTTAAACATGTTTTCACAGAGGCAACACCAGCATCACTGAATGGCTCAGCTTTGGCCAACAGTGGGTTTGTTTTGGAGCCAGCTGGAACTGGCTCTGTTTAACCTAGGGTCAGCCCCTGGCTACTTTTCACAGAGGTCACCCCAGCAGCCTCCACCTTCTGATATTAAAATCTTGCCACATAAGCCTAACGCACAAGCAAACTTCCTGATCATCTCTACTTAAAATACTTTGATTTAAATGCCAAACTGGATTCCTTCAGGAGGAAATTAAACCAGAAAATGTGCTTTAGTAGTGCTCCTAGCAGTCTCCAACACTTAAATGAATGTTTAATAATGTTTAGGAACACACTACAGCTATCCCAAATTAACTTTTCTAAAAATACCTGTAGTGTGGGGATTTGGTCCTAAGTACCATTCCCCAAGTCTGCTTAAGCCATATTACTTGCTAACGTGGACACGGTCAGTGACAGGTACACGGAGGGGAATGAAGGATAAACAATATACATAAGATCACTGTTCTGTACACTATGCATCTTATTTTAACCATAAAAGCTTTCTAGAAGGAACATTAAGTAGCTGATCTACTGTTTGTCTAAAATACAAAGCATCCCACAGATTTTATTTGAAGGAGAAACTCCAGGTTAGAAAATTTGCCAGTAGTCATAAAGGGCAGGAATGCTAGCCTGATGACTCACAAACTAAGAGGCAAGATTTAAAACAATAGCAATACAAATAAGTAATGTTATAATTATGGCTTTAGCTATTATTGTATTTTGAACCACCAAAGAAAATGCTGTGTGGTTTTGTTCTTTTAAGACTCAATCCTGAAAAATTCACTGTAATTTTTATAGTGTGTTTCCAGAGACTACATTGAGGTCATGTAGTCTCTGTAAAGCTATTTTAGTCCTTACTTGGTATAAGAAAAAGTGGCCAGCTGTTTCACAAGTGTAAGAAACATCTCCCGGGACTCCAAGACTCTCTTGCAATCGCCCAACCTCTCGTAGAAGTTCAAGTCTTCGAGCCAGAACATAATTAACTCTTCCATACCTACAAAACGAATTAAGGTTAACATATTTTGTATTTCAATTTATTTAATCCCAAGTGGTTTATTTAAGTATCACAATGCGATATCACACCTACTAGCAGCTTGCAAAACACAAACGTTTGCTACCTGCTGACTATTTCTATCTTGATAAGCCCTAATAATTTACAAAGTCATGTAAGAACTATTACTGTAAAAGAAGCTTTTTTATCCTATCACATCATTAAAAGTTTCATAAATATTAGTAAAAATATTCTCATAACATGAAAGCATTACTTCCTATGTGCTGTTTAGGAACCATTAGACATTATACAAGCATATGCAAGTTACAGAAGTCTATGGACCATCCATCATAACTGGAACCGATAACCCAAGTTTCTATGCAAGTCTATCTTCCTTTGGTGATATACAAAATGCCTTGCAATAATGCTTTGACCACTGTAACAGACAAGTCTGCATCCACACATAGGAAGTCCTGTACTCAGAGCTGTCCATTGAAAACCTTTTATAGCTGATTAGTTTGTAACTTACTCCTTCCAGTCTGCTTTTTCTTATCTAATTCATTCCCAGCTTTTTTCCTCCCCTTTAAAAATAATTAAAGTAATAATTTAAAAAAATCACTATCACATTTATTACATCTTCATTTTAAGATAACAAATATGAAAACTGTTGGAATTACAAATGAGGGAAACAGGGCACTTTCTTTTAAAAATGCAGATTAGTTAGAACCTCAAATATGAATAAAGGCTAAATTTTGAGTTCCTATAAAACTTACTATTCATAAAAGAAACTTTCTGCACATAAAAAAAAAAGACAATCCCTGGGACGTCAATGGGTTCTATTGTCTTATTTACAAAAGTTAGAAAAGCTAAACCTAGTGATTTTAATTTACTAAGACACAACTGACAATCATATTGTCAGCAACTGGAAAAAACAAGTTTCTCAGGAACTAGGACAGTTAAGATCATCGCAATGTTATTTTTTTTTCCTTGAGCAAAACCAATCCATCATTATTACAAGTGACTGCAACCATTTTTTTCCACACTTCCCAATGTCCTCTTACTTCTCACAGTTCAAGTCATACGCCCGCCCTCTTTTATATATTCATTCTTTGCTACAAAAGTTTTCTTTAGCTGTGATTCCCTTTGTTTCTTAAGTGACAGTACCAGTTTAAACAGCTCCTCTGTTTAAACATTTTATGCTGGCAAAACTCACTATTTTGCTGTGTCTACTGCGGGTGCAAAATAGGACAAGAAGCTTGCAAGCAGAAGTTCTTTTAAGTGGTACTGTGCCTTCTAAAGCAGCCTAACACAGAAAACATGAATTCCAAAGCAACTTAAAAAACAGTAAAATAAATACAGAGGCATATAGGAAATAAACTTCTTGTCTGGAATTACTCTGGAAATTAATGAAAATAGACAAAACAGAACATCTCAGAAAAAACTCCTTTTAATGATGAACACTATAGTTCAAGGAATATTACTAAGTCTTAGACATTACTAAATAAATATCTACTCTGACATCATTTCACTAAGTTCTTGGTTATCAAATTTCTGGGAAAAAAATTATATCAAATGATTCATATTAAAAAAAAAATCCCAAAGTATTTCTTTTGCAAAATGAAACTCAAAGATGTATATGTGAATAACTTCTAGTGACTATATATAATTTTTCCTACAACTTCTAGAAGTCAAGGTATTGCTATAATAATACATCACAGTCCAGTTATTTCCAGTGCATGACCCCTATACCCTCACTTGCATTTATGAATGTGTGTAATCCTATTGACGTCAATTGGACTAACATGTAATATAAAACATACAAGTGTTTACCAGAACAGGTTCTCAAGTCTTTGTACTTGATAGCTTGACTTATGAATGTATTTTGCAAAATGTATTACTTAACAATGAAACAAGCAATTTTGTTATTAATTAATATTCTTAAGAAGTAGGAGCACCAAGTTTTACTTCACAGTTACACATACACAACATTCAGTACACCAGCAGAGATGCTATCATATTTGCACAAAAATTTAACTTTATCATTCAGATTTCTCCCACAAAATAGGTCAATTTTATAAAGCACGTGTGTACATATAATATAGTGAACTACTTTTACTCAAGCAGATGAATTTGTGAACAAGCAATTGCCTGATTTTGTCATTTGGCTACTGAATAAAAATCAAAATTACTTAACCCTACATTGAAAACAAGCGTACTCTACATAACTGCAATTCAATGGTATGAGAAAGGTAAAACTTGCCAAGCATAGCCCCTTGCTCAATGACAAGGGAGGTAGAATGGATTCAACATGCGGGTCTCAGCTACAATACTTATACAAGCTATCATTAGCACCTCCTTTCTCACCTGCTGAAATCTTTCTCTGTCTCTAATTCCTCTTCTCCATGACCCAGACGCAGGAGGTGGCGTTCATCAATGTCTAGAGCCATGATTTTTTCAAACAGCTGGTTCAAGGCCTAAAGATTGACAAGAGCAGGAGAAAAGGTAGCTTTTAGAAACCCTTGCAGTGAAAACCAAAGAATTACTTGTAAAACAGTCAGCAAATAATGCCTATTTTGGTATAACAAAAGCCAAAGCATACATGAAGTCAACACTGAAGCTAGATTGTGTTAATCTTGACAATGGACGTATCTGCCTGCTGAAGCTCTTGTCTTCACTTCCTTTATGCAACAATTAAATTTGATTTTACACCTTTCGTTAAATTACCTAGTCAAAAAATCTAGTTGATAAAGCCGTCAATTTATACATTTTTCCTCAAGAGGCACAGTTTACAACTAGCTTTTTTAGATCACTTTGAAACAATTGTTCATTTAACTCTTACTGTAAATTAGAAGAGTCTGGTGGTGATTGACAGGTACCGTGGCTATTCCATATGGATAAATACATTTTGCTGAACTTAAAGGTTTGCTGTGGCTCCTGCCTTAAACTCTTCAGTTTTCTAAAGCTGAGAATCCACAGCTCAATTCAATGTATTCTAAAAGAGCTGAGTCTATAAGCACTGTAACATCAAACCACAAAACTGAGAGTGAAGTACAAGCAGAGCTTGTTCACGTTTAAGTCAAATGGAAGTCATACAAACACGTTTAAGTACATAGTCAAGGCACAGGAAACAAACCCTGCTGAGGTACTATTTTATTTCCTGAAGTGCAATTTCAGATACTCACATCAAAAATTATTTACTTTCTTTTCTCCACAACAGAAATGCTCTCAACTCTAATACCAGTTACTCACCCACAACCCGTTGCGGACTGGCCTGTATTTTCCAGGTTTTAACTTACCACCAAAGCAAAGCTACACTGTTGACCAAAGAACGGTCAGTGGAAGTACCTGATCTTACTCTGACGAACAAAGATGAAATGCTTTCCAAATGGTAAGCTCAGTTAAGATAGCTGATAAAGGAGATAGGATAGGCTACTTAGGGAGACCAGGAAATGATGACTGTAGTTTTCAAAGAAACCCTTCAAAACACAGATGGCTTTAGAATAAGAATCTATAATACTATTATTATTATTTTATATATGCTCAAGAATTAGCAGGCAGACTCCATCTCTTACGAACAAGAAGCAAGCGTTCATCTGAACAGGCCATTCTACCTTTCCTGCCTTTCCTTGGAAGGATGAAGCACGGAGCAACTGGTGCCTGAGAGAACTAGTTAGTACAAGTCAAGTTTGGCACGCATGCAGTAAGTGTGCAATTGTAAAAACTGTGCAGATACTTTTTTTCAGAATACTTCCTAATTTCTATCCCGTAATGAGGTAAATATCCGGAAAACCTCTAATAAATACCTCAGAAATACTATCCTTAAATTCAAAATTTTCATGGCGTATTTTAGAATTAGCAAATCTGCTCACAAGCTAACTTAAGCTTTCATTAGTAAGAAACAACTGCAGTCCTGAACATACTGATTCTCAATATCCGCTGCTCTTCTTGATTTTAACTACAGGAAAATTTCATACATGAAATATCTCACCTGATTAGAGTGAGTAACTATAAGAGTTCGTTGTTCTGGGAAATTGTGATAAAGATTGGATATTATCTGGACCGCAACATCAGTTTTCCCTGTACCAGGTGGACCCACTACCTAAAACCACAAAATAAAGAGAAGAAAAAACAAACAAAAAATGGACGATTTATAAAAATTCTGCACAGGACTGAAGTATAGCCTGTTGGGAAAAAAAAAAAAAGTAATCTCACAATCTCCAACAAAAAAAACAAGCAACAGTAACAGAAAAAACATGCTGTTCATCCCCAAGACAGGCTAAACATAAGGGAAAGAGTGAAAAAAAAAAGATACATCAAAGAAACATAACTGAGAAATAATGAGGTGAAGTAAAGAATAGAAGACTCCATTCTCTTAACTTACTTAAAAATCTACAACTGATGATACAACACCAAGAGTTAATGTTTTTAAAGGATCAATTATACCGACAACTTTAACAAATTTTACACATATGACATTTTAAAAGTGTAAATAAATATTATAAACAATATTACAAACATCTCAAGTGTAATTTCTTCAGTGTTAAGAAGCAAATAGCTGCTTTCATATATATATTTACACATAACAACATAAATTTTCTGAATAAAACAAGCATGATTTTCTAGCAATCTCATTGCTAGATTCAAAAACAAGTAGGATTGTATTTCTCAACCGTATTTGACAGGAACAAATGAATAATGACAGAAAATAAAACACAGGCTTATGCTGCATAACTTTTCTCAAGCAGTCTGCCTTCTCTCCTTGCAAACACAAACCAGGTGATTTCATCAAAAAAGCACAAATACATCCTCAAAAAAAGCTGATTTGGTCATTACTTTTTCGCTGTTGAACTACCAGACTCCCATTCAGTAACCTCTTCTTAAAAAATTAGTAAATATATTTTTAGCAAAAAAGTTAAAATTATACATATATACACACACATATAAAGACCATCTTCTCACAGATTCATATAAGCTGATGGAATATCAGGCACAGTAAGTTACTTCTTTAAAGCCCTCAAAACGTGAGACAGATGGTAATTATGATTCATTACATGCTGCAATAGAAAGTCATTTATAGCTCAGCAAATATTAAATGACACTAATAAACAGTATGCAGTGCTATTTTAAAAAATAAAATGAAAGCAAAAATTAGGTGACAGAGATACAACCTCCCCCTCATTGGCCCTGTGTTTTTTGTTTTTTGTTTTTTTTTAATTATATACTAAAAACGGTAACAAAGATTTTTAATTTCTCAGTCTTCTTTCCTGTTGACAATAATATTGATATAAAACAATACTCCTATTCACTGGTGTGGGTGTTCTTACACAAACACTCTAATTATGTAAAACCTAGCAGTTCAGATCACTGGGTTCATTCCAAAAAAAAAACAAAACAAAAAAACAACCCACCACCCTCCAGCACTGTTGAATAACCAAATTATTTAATTTATCACTGTGACATTTTTACAGCAGTCAAAATTAAAAACTCCTGATTTATGAATAAACCTTAAAGTTGGTATCCTATCAACATCGAGTACTGAAACAGAGAACACATCATACTCAAACACTACAAAGAACTCAGGAACTTTTATACATGGTTTAAGACATTATGAGTATCAGCACACCTAGTAAGGCAGTGACAAATGGCATACAATTCTACTGAAATTTATTTTCTCCTTTGTGTTGCACTTTTCATGTGCTAGCTACAGAGTGCAGAAGGAATAATAAAAACATAAGGGAAGGGAGAAGGAGGACTACTTACTAATGAGTACTACTACTACTAATAAAAAAAATAAAAAAAATTAGTATTAACACCCATATAGTCCAAGAAGAGATTAACAGTACCAGAGAAGTCATTGCACTGAGGAGTCACTAGTAGGACAGACTGTACTGCACTGGAATGCAGGCACTTGTAGTCAGCTAAGCCTTGGAGACCTTTGCAGATATTCGTTGTTCAGAAATTACTTTCCTAACAAATCTACAACTCTTTTACAGCTTCTTATATCTAGAAGTCAGCAGGATATAAGGGATTATAGATTAAATTTCAGAAGACAGAAGAAAAAAGCCCCCTAAGGACAATTTAGTAACTTTCATTTTCTTCAATGGAGCTAGACCAAACTAAAAATGATGCAAGTACTTTAAAACAGAAAAAACAGACACACATAGCAAAAGCTAAAATTAGCAATCTAAACAGTCTAAAATTAGCAATTCAAGCACTGAAAAAGTAAATTTTGATTGTTGTGGGAAGTCTTCAGTCACTAGGACACAGGATCCAGTTATACAGAGATCAAATGTGTTTCCGAAGCATGATTTAGTGAAGACAGGAGGATGTTGAACATTTGTTATTTTCCTATATTTTAAGCTACTAATAGAGTAAGTACCCTCAGAGAGGCTACAGAAATAGGCATTTCAGATATTTTATTGAATGTACCTGAAGCTAGAATCAAGTGATAGCATAAAATGTTTAAAATAGGTAAATAAATGAAAAATTCTTACCATAGTTAGCCCGGGCTGCATTCCTGCTCGTATAGCTTCAATTTGAGTATGGGTAAATTGAATAGTATTGCTGTAACAAAGAAAATGCACAGAAAATCGACGTATTTTGACAACAGTTTTTGGTAAAAGCAACTGTTTAAACATTTTTAAGCCAAACTAATTGGCTATATGTTTCTCCAACTACATGCCTACAAATATTTATATAAATTAAACCAAAATTACAATTATCTTCTTATTAGACCTGGCAATTTTTCAATTTCTAAGCAAGACTGTAAATCACAATGGCCACGTGACAACAAAATCATCCCACTTAAAATGATGTCCTCAGTTATTATTGGCTAAGAGTGCCACAAAATTATTTAACTATGATTCTTTTTAATCCTATAGTAATAGCGTGACATGCTGAAGTTAAATGACTTTACTACATTACCTGGATATAGAGAAAATGTAATGACTTTTTTCCTTTCTCCTTTAAAAAGGCAATTTGACAAAGGATTGTCAAAAAAAAATCAATTTCAGATCCTGCTATTCTTCAAGCAAGAAGAGTTCTACCAAGGCTCTTCCTACTTCGCACACTGTAAGCACATACTTATGCCACTCATCTGAAGTAGGAGCAGACCTAAGTTAAAATACTTACACTATATAAAGAGAGTCTTAAGTATATGTATGGATTGATTCTTAATTAATTGCATCAAATTATTGCTGATGCTATAATAAAATTCCTTTGCAAAGTGATAAGTAAAGGAATTATTTGTAATGGAATTTTATTATAAGTCTTTGTACGAAGAGCTAGCTACCTGTTACTGTAATTACTACAAAACAGTTTAAGCATGATCAGCACTTCTTTGCACTGATTAAGTGTTCAGAAAATCCAGTAGCCAGGTTTCGCTGTAAAGAAAAAGTTTTCCAAAAAAACTGCTAAATTCCAAAAGGTGCATTCCTCCTAACACATTCATACTCTTGCAGATATCATAGCTAGGAGTAGATGTTATACTCCATTCCAGTCCCCCTCACCCCTACCCCCATCTTTTAACATGCAGGTCTTCACCTCTAATAGATCCACAAGTCATTTATTTCATGAATAGGGTCACATGTTTGTTCTGTGACTGTGCATACAACTTAGTGTTCTGATGATACACAGTATTTCACATTTCTAAATGCTTTTAAAACATATTATTGAAAATAAATGGAAGCTTTTAATGTATTTCGTTCATGTAAGAGACCCTTCAGATTCCAGTGTTACAGAAAAAACAAGTATTTTGCATACTCATACAAGAAAAATACTTATCCACCTCTGTCCTTACTAAGCTCTCAACTGTTATAAAAAGTCATTAGTTAGAAAAGATCAGTAGAGAAAACAAGGGCAACTGCATGAAGCATTAACTTTTCCAATACTAATATTCAAAGTCCTAACAATACTAAAAGCTAGTCTCTCTCCATATTTTTCAATGGAATAGTTTTAAATAGAGAGTGGATAATAGAGTACTTTGATTTAAATACAAAGCATAATAGTCTCATATCCAAATCTTTTTTTGGTAATGAAATCAAAGTGACATTTAATTTATGATGTACAACATGATATTTTGAGTTCTGAAACTGAACTGCTATGCATGTTAACATTTGCAACCAAGTCCACATGCATCTATTACCGTTTAGGTTGATTATATGGATATGGTCCCCTGTTTGGAATGACATGAGGCTCTACAATCAACGTTTTAGTTTCTTCTGTTTTTTCTTCATTCCCATCATCTTCTTTTCTTTTCTTTCCTTTACCTCCCTGTATTGGGAATGTTATCCTGTAACAAATAATATAAATTTACACTTCAACACATACGCTATGACACTGGATTGTCTTAGAATTTTTTAATTAAGAAAGTTTTTTTTGTCTTGTTTATAAAGATAAACTTTCACACAACAGGGTAACAGGAGATGAAGATAGCAAAATGTTGATGACTACATGGAAAAGAAAAAAAATATGTTGGTAAAGCAGCCTTTAAGAAAGCATATTTGACAAAAAGTATGTTAAAAGTGTACTTTACATAGCTATAAAAGGCAAGGGCAGTGCTGTGAGACAACTGGACGAACATTGACAGCAAAAAAATTTAGAAATAAAAACTTGAGGAAAGGGAGATAATTAAAAGCATTTCATGGTAGAAGAATTCCAACAGCAATCCAATCATCTTGATACAACAATGCAGACATTTTTAACATCGATAATCTCTTAGTCTCTTTAGAAGGCAAAGATATTGCAATAGGAAGAACAACAAATAGCTCTTCATACAGAGGAAAATCTGTATTTTGACCCAAGATCTGAAAATTAACAACAGTTCATCAAGGGAAACTGCATGTGGTAGCTTTTTGTGATTCCTTCAAACTATTACATTATTTATAAAGCGTTAGTACTTTCTCCACATACACTCTACGTGCCATATTTCAAAAAAGCTGTTAAAGCTTGTGAAGCTCCATGCAATGCAAAATTCAGTTCCAAAAGCACAAGGAAGCCAACAAAGAGGGAAGAGAACTTTCAAATCTAAAAATTAGTCACTAAAATTCTGGGATGGAAAACAGTACCAGTGAAACAAAACACCTAAATCTCACTTACTGGTCACAAAGGTAGGCATCCTATTTCAGAGACCATTTCTAAAATAAGGCAAGCATTATGGGATATCAAACTTTAACTGATGTTGAAATTGCTGTAATTTGCTTCAATGTGACATATAAGGAAATTTTGTAAATAAAAATCACTAGGCTGAACTTGAGGTGGGTAGGTACCACAACCAACAAGGGAATACTATGTGTCTTGATTCTATTTCACACTTGCTTTTCTCATAAAACCAATAGGCTGACCTACAAGTAACAAAGACGTATGTTTGTACAGAACAGCTAAGATGGTCCTGAGTCTAACTGTAGTATACAGCTACCTCAATTATACAATTAAGTCTTGATACTAACATATGAACACATATTCTTAAAAGAAAGAGCACCTGACTTCAACCTCTGAACTCAACTGCACGTGACAAGGCAGAAAGAATACCAGATGAAGAGTACTTGAAATTTTGAGATCACCTGAAGGGCGGCACTTGCAGATCTGGATTGTCAACAGTCACTTTAATATTATACCCAGGAAAGCTAGCTTTTAAGTGATCAATGGACAGGAAAGTGTCATTAAAATCCAGAGATGCAATCTGATTTGGCATTTTTGAATAATGTGCACTACTTGGGTCTCCATATCCAAGAATGATATCATGCAGCCAGTCAGGAACCACACAGTCTGTGTTCATCAAATTCCTAATAGTCTCCAGAACAGCCTGTAAATTGGAGAAGGGAAAAAAACAAAAGATTGGAGGGTGACTTTTTAACTGAGGAAGTATGACATATTGAAGACTAACCAAGTTATTCCTGCATGTTAGCATGTATCAATCTTTCACTGACAGTTATTTTTTAGACGAGTCAATATCTATACAGTGCATATATGCAAAAACTAAAACAGTGTAAAATTCCTAAGCTGTCCTGTCAGTGAAGAGCTACGAAAGAGCACACATTTCTGTTTCACGATCTTCTCCGGGACTTCCAGAAGGCCATTCTGTTTGTATCACAAATGCATTAGAATTTCTGCATGCTTATAACATAGGAATATAAGCTTATAGCCCTGGATCGCAGACGCCTTGACCCCAAAGGCCAAACACAACTAATCTGTACGCTATCTCTTGAAAGACTGAAATTAAATTATAATTATTGTTTTTTTTTTTTTAAATCAATGCTCAAATGAATTAAGATTGTTCTTATTTTCAGTTACTCCAGCACTTAGCTGTAGGAAGAAATTATCATCTGCTGATGGGCTCTGAGATCCTAAAGTGGTCCAACTCCATTTGGAAAGGCTACGTACACATCACTAAAATGAACTAATTTCAGTCAGGAAAACTTCATCTGAATGTGCTAAGTGTCAAAGAGCAGTACCTTACCTTGAAGTTGTTTTCTTTTGGTTTTCTTCTCATTATAATATTAAATGTCTCATAGACATCTTCTGCTCCATTTTGGATTGTATTGGTCATGTCTTGTTGATACTGGTTTGGGTCCAGAAATACTCTGTACGTTCTGCAATCCCCTTTCAGTCTAGGTTTGGGTTCGGGTCCTGCCCATAATGAAACAGTAAAATTAGAATTTGACATGTTGCCAAAAGTAGACTAGCACCCAGATAAATGACCCATAATCACTTCTGAAATGTATTTTAAACATATTCATATAATTGTTTTCTGCACAGCATTTCAAACATTGTTTCATGTTTTTACACCATTTCTAGTTGAGTTTTAGAATACAAGCTATTTTATTCTTAAACCAAAAACGTAGTAGGCATATTTAATTAAATCCACTTTTATCAGATTGTACCAGAGGAAAATAATTAACCTCTCTTGGGACTGCATATATAAATATAATATTTTTTCTCCAAGGAAGCATTTTCCAATAATAATTCAGTCCGTGTTATTTACAATAGAAGCAAGTTAATAATTAAAAACCAACAAAAGACAGACATATATTTCAAACAAGTTTTGGTGCATTATACCTTCTTCAATAACACGGCCTTTCTCATCCAGCATGCCTTGGATTTCACAGCCTCTGACATATACCAGGCCAGTTTGCTCAACAAAAGGTCGCCGTCGGTCAAACTTAGTGCCATAAGGTTGTGTGGGACGTACCGTAACCAAAAAACAGACATCATGTTTACGCAGACCTGAGTCCAAAAAGGAACATTGAGTGAACTGACTGAATGCCATTTTCCTTTTCCATTCTTTAAATATATATACCATTAATAAAAGTAAAACTCCACCTGCTTAGATCATAATGTATTCTGTTTCAAACCATCCCTTTAACTCAGACGATACAGCACCATAGGAAATTGTCTTTTCCACTACTCTTACATACTAAAATCTGCTAGGACTTCAGATAGAAGGAGAAGAAACTGATTGCTTTTTTCATGACATCACACTTCATATTCTGAGATTATTCTGCTTCCAATAATCTTATCTCAAAAGTAATGCGTCATTAATCTCTTATTCTTGTTGCTTTCTTCTGGATTACTCTCAATTTTATTTTTTAACAATTTATGTGTGGTGCCTAGAATGAGCATAAAATTCCAAAGTTACTTCAGTTATCTTCTTAGTAGGGTATAAGGTCATTTAACCAAGTTATTTGTTTTCCATGCTACATTGCAGTTTATAGAGCCCAATATGATTTGGTAGAGTGTTTTTCCCTCAGGAGTAGCGTATTGTTGTGGAGTCACATTTGCTTTTGAACCATGATGAACTCTGACTTTTTCCCTCCTGCACAGCTACTGCCTAACAAGTTACTCTCCAAACATATGCTTGTGCAGTAAATTGTTCTTGTTTAATTTAATTTCTTTTATTAATCTCTGTTGAATTATACCTTACTTTTAAAAGGTCTTTTCTCTACTTCGCTGTTGTCATTTTGAACACTAACCCTTTCTTCCAGTATACCTACCAATTCTCACGTATCTGCGAGAAAAAAATTGGTAAACACACACTGCATTCCACTACAAAATTAGCAGAAACTTTGCACAGCATTAAGATCATTGAAGAACTTCGTTTTATAGACCTCCTTTATCTGAGGTAAGTACTTTCTCATTATTCACCGGATGTTGTTATCCAATTTTATGTAGTTTCATCAAGACCTTGTTATGCCAGACAACGAGTCATCAGTTCTTCACCTCTGTCCTGATTCAGCAATAGTTTTAACTATTTGTTTTAAACATTACCTAGCTTAAAGCATTACTGCTTTTGATCTCTCAGAAACTATTATAGTGTTTAAAAGCAGTGGAGGAAGGATCAACCTACATTGGTAAAGTAGAGCCACAAGAAGGATATTAGCTACTGGAATATTCCTGCAATCTAACAATATTCAGGACACGATATGTTGCTGAATGCCAGAGTTTTACCATGACCAATTAAATAATCATAAATTTAAAAGAAGAGCCTGTTAAAGATAACTGGAAAAGAGAAAACATTGGAAAAAAAAAGAAAAAATTTGTCTGAGTCATTTACCCATACAACCTAACGCTAAAATGTTTAAAAGCATATGCAATTCTGTTGAAGCAGAAGCATGATTAGAAATTAAATCTCAATATTAGTAACAAACTTGGATCTATCTTAATCTTTGTTTCAGGAAAATCCCAATTTCTTGGGCTTGGAATTTGAATAACATGCTTTTAAACAGTGTATTAAGATGGACAAGTCTACCTCAGATACAGAACTCTACAATTAAAATTAAGGCAAAGGATATTTTGATGAGCATTTATTTTGAGCATCTTATTTCAAACAACCACATGGTACCTTCCCATTCATCTTTGATGCTATCTCGGACATTCAAATTAATTGTGACATCTGCTCGGACTCGCATAGGCCAGTTTTCACCAATATTGGGCTTTGCAACCTCCACCACTGTGAAAGAGACAATGGGTTGTGCCATCCTAGCCCATCCACCAAAAACCACGCCTCCATATTCTGACAGCCTTAAAAAAAATAATAAAAAAAATAGGCTTGTTAGTCATTATCTGATAACAGATTCAGTTCCTAAACTCTGACAAAATTCATCTCAGTCAACTCAAAGAAAATAGAAGTCTTAATTTTACATGCTACTGAACTAGATTAATGTTATCCTGCACTTTAGAATCGAAATGTAACATGAACTGATTTATTTTTACATTTCAAGAAGCAAGGGCAACTTATGCTGGCCTTATTAAAAAAAAAAAAAAAAAAGAAAATCAAAGTCAGAAAGAAAATACGAAAAAGGGAAGATAACAAACAGCAAATAATGAGTATAAGAGAGGCCATAACAAATGACCCCTTGAAACATAAAGAGGATCAAAGTGTAGCAGATGGTAGATTCAAGAATACTCAGTAACACATTTAATATACAAGAACTGATGGCAGAGTTTCCATATTTCATGAAGTCAGAAATGCTCAGCTCAGTACTTTTATGTTATGTTGTTAACACAACAAAGGTTGGTTGTTAACATCCAACATACTTCTTAACATATCAGGTATACATATTCACGCACTCTTGCAACATAATCTCACAGGATGGCAACATCCTGTGGAAGAAGTTAATACAAAACAAAATAACATTTTAAATTATAATAAAGTATTATGTATTTAGTACACACACAACATCAGTTATTCATTCTCAAAGTCACTTTGATCAAAGTTGAGCTGCACCAGTTTATAAATATTTTGCATCAGTTAATAAATATTACCATGGTTTCATCCTACTGACACTGTCTTCAATATCCTGTCTGATTTCATAGGTGGACTCTAAGCGGAAGAGATTGAAGTTCCTTAGCAGGTAATCATGAAGAGTCAAAAATTGTAGATTCAATTTGGGAAGTGCAAGACAGCCTAAGGTGGACAGAGGTGGTAGGCAAGAGGTATTTGATGGGCAAAAAAGAAAAAAAAAAAAAAAAAGAACATGAATTAATATATTGGTTCTACAAATTCATAAACATATTATAAAGCACTATAACTGCTGGAGTTATCCTAGAAGATTCTAAGAACTTATCTTTTTATGAATATACTTCACTAAAAAAGTACACATTTTTCTCCTTCCCTCCCCCAGATTTTCCGTTTTTCTCTAGATGAACCTGCACACGATTAAAGGAATTTTCATCCTTCTGGCAGTAACACAGGGGACCAATAAAGGACTGAATCTTTTGCAGTTGAGACTCCCATGAAAATGACTTTATGAAAACCAAACCAAAACAAACAAGTGAAAAAAAACAAATGTAATGTAAAGTAATTGTATTTTGCAATTCAACAATAAAACCAGCATTAAAAAGAAAAGGCTCATTTACTAGTAAACAATGCATTATACAGCAATTCTCTGACTCCAATCCTTTATGTTTATTAAAAACCACAAAAAATCACTAATGTAGACAAAAAAATTTAAGCCAAGAAATCCATTTTTAATAAACAACTTTTCCCAAAAGTTTGTTAATGATTATAGATTTTTCAGTGAAAATGAAAACATAGGAAAATTAGATTTAAGAGTATCAAAGAGTATCAAAACTCCTAGAAAAGTCCACATAACTACTTGCATACCCTTAAGGTAGTCTTAGATGTGAATCTGCCATAATAAAAATTTTTAAATGTTACTTATCATTACTGGACTACTCTTCCAGTTTAATACCTGTGCTTAACACCTGTGAAAGCATCAGGCATTTGTAACATGCAATATTATCCTTGAAACCAGTACTACACACTGGCTTTCACATGTTCTGAGATATATTGGCAGTAAAGAAAGGCAACAGAATACAATTTCTATTCTGGAAAGCTACATGGTGATAAAATGCTTTAACACATTTCCCAACACCAAGTAACAAGCCCTGTCCTGTAAATCTAGTTATATGCACAAAGGGCAGGGCCTGAAGCAACTCCTCTTATGGCTGCACAGCATTTATCAGACAGATACTCTTCTCTCCCATTTTATTTATTTTAAAGAAATATCTCTTTCTCAGGCTAAATTAGTTGTCTTTAAGTTTCAGACAAAAAGAATTTTGCTGCTTTAAAGAACACAGAAAAGAAACATCTCTTCTCGGGCAGATATATAAATGGTATTTGTATCATATATGTACGCAAAAGATCCTCTGTTGTCCATAAACCTACGTTACCTAAAGTGGTTAAGATTCAAATGTCTATCTTTCTAATCATCATTGGTGCTTCATAAAGAAATCACCCATCTAAACTTTATCTGCTTAACAAAATTCATTAAGTCTTATATCCACACAAAAAGCCCACTTCTGTATGAAATTTATATGGACAAGGGTATAGAATACACTCTGTTCAAACCAGAAACATACTTTGCGCTAGTCTTTTGCACTGATTTTCTGCTGCATATTTAAAACCTGTTTCACCTCACTGAAACCATGTGGAGGTATACTGTATTTGTTGCCCAGCTTACAGGTAAAGAATTGGCTTTATGTAAACACAAACTCTTGGATTTTTCTTGAAATATACTATTTTTTCAATAACAATTTCACGTCAGAGCTCGAGTCACATCTCAAAAATCTGAAAGCTGACCCTTCCATAAGATACTGAAATGCGCCAATTGCTGCATAAGTTCTGAAGACAGGATAAGCACAGATATCAGAACTGCTTTTTAGAGCATTTACTGCCCTGTTCTGCCTTTACTGAACACTTATCATACCTTCTCCAGAATAATATTCAGTTGGGACAATATTTTCATCCCAAATAATCTTCTCCGTGGGATACAGAGGCATCTGGTTGAGTTGCTGAATTTGAGATATTCGTCTCTCATGACGGGAAACCTAAAGGATGCATTTAGAACATTTAAAAGTCAAAAAAAGGACAATAAAGCTATCTTTGAAACACTAGTATTAATCCATAAGAACGCTGGTGTTCATTTGCCATTTCCTGTTTTAATAACTTTTTTTTCCCCAATTAAATATAACAATCTATACAATTGCATTGAAAGATACTCCAACTATCTATCATAGCTCTGGAATCAAACAATCACCTGATGAAAAATGGCGCAACAAAACCGAAAATACTCAGTGTATACTTTGCAGAGAATCTAATTAAAATAAATTTTAAAATTATATATTTTTTGCATTAAGCACATGTTCAATAGCTAAGTGTAGCATTGCTCATCCAGCAATAGCTACTCTTAATTCCATCAGGGAGAAAAAAAAAAAATCAATATTACTATACTGTCAGCTGAACAAACATCTCTTCATAGTATCAGTACACATCATATTCCTACTACCTAATACTTAGAAAAATCATATAAACATTTTTGAAGGAAAAAAACAACCACAAAAAAGAGTTCTGAAAGATACTGAAAACAAATACACCTTTCTAATATTGAGTCTAATCAATATTAGATACCTACAGTAACTGTTAATACACTGAATATCCAAAAATAAAAATCATGTGCATGAAATGGTGTTACAAATAGGTTTGGGAAACCAAACAGATAATGGGCAGCTAGATTTATTTTAGCTTTTTTTGTTTTTAAAAGAGAAAAACAGTGAGTATATAAATAACTTTTCTGGAAGAACAAAAAACTGTTGCTGGGCTCTGCTTATTGACCTTTACAGTTATGCCAAATGTACTAATTCTTCCACAAATACATTTCTTCCACAAATGCAAAGACTAGAAATTACATCTTCAAAGAACAATTATATTCTTACATTCTGTAATTTCTTAGGAAAACTACTTTTACACATTAACATTTCCAAATATTTAATTTATATAGTTTAAAACCCCATCTTAGTGTCTACTTTACTGTTATAGCACTGCTGTGGTTCACTGGTGATTTAACAAGAGGTGCTAAATAGCTACTTTAGTACAGTTTAGTTGCTAAATTATATGAATGGCGGTTTTACCAGCAGCTCTAGCAGAAAATCCTTTTCATAGCTAGTGTCATTCCCTTCAGGAAGAGGAGGCAGTAAGCAGAGGTATGATGCCACCTGGTGGAGCGTGTTTGAGCTGCATAATAGAAGATAAACTTTAGTCACAAATACTGAAACCTGTGAAGAACAGGTTATGAGTATCTTTTTTTTTAAAGTACAACTACAAAATTTCATCAGAGTAAAAAAAGCTAAATTAAACAAACTGTAGCAGTAATTGCCTTATAGTAAACAACCTTTATTTAAAACAAACAAACAAACAGCTAGCTATTTTCCAGGAAATTAATACTTTTTCTTCACATTAGAAAAAAACGAAAAAGTTATTTTTCTTACGGTGGAATTCTGAGAATTCACTACCAATTTCTACTAGTGGACCCAAACTCTCTATTTCTCCCTATTTCAACACATGTAAAGGCTCAAAAAGTGAAGAAATACGAGTTGGTCTTACTAATGTGAGAAGCCATACAGAAAGTCTTACTAATGTGAGAAGCCATACAGGAATTTGTTAAATTAAAAAACTGAGAACAAAGAACATCAATTTTATGTTAAATTTCATTCTGATGCATTACCTGAGGGGTCCAAATAACTTCACCAGTGAATCACGAGTATCTACTGCAGCCACATTTGAGAGTGCGAAGTCATATAACTCTGGGAAATGTGCAAATGCTGTTCTCTACAAAAGATCCAACCCCCCAAAACTGAACGTAAGCACATTAATGAAGCAATTAAACAACAATCTAAATATTTGTACAAACCAATGTTTTATTCTGATTCATAACACAAAGTACCCTGTGGACAATTTCAGACTAGACATAAAAAACCAGGTGAAATCTCCATTTTTCTGAGCACCACCTATTTATTATTCCTGGACTTTTGATATACTATCTTTCTGATACACCACCTATCAGCATTTGTTCTATCATTAAAATAAAAACATAAGGGGACAGACATGTAGCCTTGTAGACAATTAAGGAAGACAAGGAACAAATTTATTTTAACCATGCTTCCTTGAATTTTATTGTCAAAAGTGATGTGAAAAACTCTGGTAAGTGTAGCTTTCCTTATATGAGTATAGGCAATGTGAATCTTTATTTTCTATCTCTTATGTAGAAGGTACCATTACTGCTATCATGTGTGGACTGAACTTGAAGAAATGATGCCACCTACTGCATAAATCAGGTTCCTACTGCAGTGAATGTTCACTTCTGAACAGATTTAATGCGTGCAGTTCACCTAACTTAAAAACATCAAAAGTGATGGTGTTTTGCTAGAGCATTTTATTTAGTCTTAGTCACATATGTGAATTAAGTCTTCTGTATAGCAGAGAAAGTCAAATTATAACTATTCCTGAAACTCAACATAAAAATTAAGGGGTTTGCTTTGGGAAATAGCCTAATTTGTACATAGAAGAGTTGTATAAAACTACAAAAAAAAAAAAAAAAACAACTACATCCATTCACGCCCCTAAACACTTTACCTGTAAAGAAGTAATTCTATCATAGTGAATTGTCGTCATCTCATTCTCTGTCAAAGCATTTCCAGTCTGATCATTGATTTCAAAGCCAGTGTAGAATTTAAGCATATCTAAAAGCTGAGACATTATGCATACACATTAGTGGATTAACAATAAGAGGCACCTTACCACAAACAAAAAAAATACCATTTAACAAACAAATCTGAGCACCATGCACAAACAAGTTTATCAGAGTACTTAAAGAAACAGACCACGGAGTGGTATCTAAATTTGGTTGATGCACAAAATTTTGGTAGGTATCTCATCAAGCCATGGAAACTATAGCACAGACCATGGCCAAAGTTGTTTCTTCTACAAATCAGTATTAGAAACTAAGTATACCACATTGACCTAGCCAGAGGTTCAGAAGACACTGAATTCAACCTCTGGCTTGCTGGTATCAAAAGGGAGAGGTCTTGCTTCACTCCCGCCCTCTCTGATGCCAGCCCTGGAATTAATAATACTTTTCAATTATTTTCTTCTTCCAAGTTACATATTGTCAATCAGATGTGTTGCTGGCTTTCTGTTTCATCGACCCTCAGAATAACTGAACACATGCCAGAGATCGGGGACAGTAAGCCTCAAGAAAAGCAGCTGAGAAGCAGAGAAGGGAAAAGATCTTCAGATCCTTAGTGATATACTGTCTATGGCTGAGTAAACTGAAGGACAGTAGTGAATAACATCTGCATTGTAGAACTGTCAGAGGTCAAAACAAAGGCAAGAATGCATTGGTGACATGACTTCTGTTATTCATGGGGTAAAGCAAGCCATATGTTCCATTGCTTTCTAGGTTGTACTTTTCAAAACTGCTGAAAAACAGTCAGAAATGTAAAAACAGACACACACAGACACAGTTAAGAAGGGACTACTGTCTGAAGGATTTAAATAAACATATAATTTGCATGCATCAGAAATATTCATAAAAACTTGTCTTAACAATCAAACATAAAATACAGCAATTGCAATATTCAGAGTTGCATCAGAATGAAATAAGTTATTTTCAACAACTTCCTATTTCACCTGGCAGAAGAGATGACCTTCCTTCTCTCTCTTGGCAAGACTAGATAGGTAACAGTGAACAACAAGATGGGAGTCATCCAACACTGTGTTAAACCAGCGTCGTGTGGGAAGCAAAGCCTGTGGCAAACAATCTCATGTTAGTACAAGCAGTTCTTCAAAATTTAAGAAATCTTAGTTTCTCAAATTTCCATTTCAAGAAAGCAGATCAAGGTAGATCGCTGCACAGTTATTTTCGTATCTAATACCCTAACAGAGGTCTTCGTATTTGTCCTGGTTTCAGTTAGAACAGAGTTAATTTTCTTCCTAGTAGCTGGTAGAATGCTATGTTTTGGCTTAGGATGAGAAGAGTGCTGATAACACCCCAATGTTTTAATTGTTGCAGAGCAGTGCTTATACCAAGCCAAGGACATCTCAGCTTCTTGCTCTGTCCTGCCAACGGGCAGGCTGGGGGTGCAGCAAGAGCTGGGAGGGGACAGACCCAGGACAGGTGACCCAAACTAGCCAAAGGGGTATTCCATACCATCTGACGTCATGCTAAACAATATATAGGGGTGGCTAGCTGGGGGAGGGGGCTGGACTGCTCGGGGTTAGGCTGAGCATCGGTCAGCGGGTGGTGAGCAATTGCATTGTGCATCACTTGTTTGTACATATTATTAGTAGTAGTACTATTATCATCATTGTATTATTATTATAATTATTGTTATTATTATTTTCCTGTCTTATTAAACTGTCTTTATCTCAACTCACGGGCTTCACTTTCCATTTCTCTCCCCCGTCCCAGAGAGGGAGGGGGGAGGGTGAGCGAACGGCTGCGTGGTGTTTAGCTGCCGGCCGGGTTAAACCATGACAGTATTAAAGCAGCATTTACCTGTGCCTGTTTTTTATGTGGGTAGGCTGCTATGAACACTGACTTTTATAGGTCTGGTAGCATGGCACAAGCTCATCACAAGGCAGAATGCTCCTATTAGCAATAAAACTAAATTAATTATAGCAATTGTTCTACTACTAAGTGTCTGTATAATCATTGTGTATTACATGATACATCAAACTGCTGCAATATTGTTTTACATGTGTGCATTCTACACTCATTTCAGTCATTACTGCTTCAGCAAATTGTCCTATTCCGAAGTGTCTTCTAAAGCTCAAATTATTTAAAATATAATTTGTTACTTGTGTGAGAAGGTCTTTTAATGTTTTACTTTTAATTCTGGTACCGTGAAGCTTGAAGTTGTCCCATTTTCTCAGTACCTGCAGATAGAAAACCTCACTTGGCCTCCTCATATTATTCTGTAACAAAACTAAATCACCAAAACTGTTTCCTGTAAATAATGAATTCTAGTCAAATAGGAATAACTTGCATTTCAGAACTACGGATGCCTCCTAGGATTATAATACGTAACACTGAAGATATTTTAAATAGCCTATCATGCTGTGGGAGGAGCACTCCCAGATTAATCCTAATAGATTAAAGCCTCACACATTTTCCTCAATTGCTGGAATTATTACCATTCCCATTAACAGTCTTCAGAGAGCAATTCAGTATCCTAGATTTCTCTAACAGTGTATTTGATTTATAAACATTACGTTAGTTCTCAGTGTAGCTCCACTGTTACAACCTCCTAGTTACAGATGGAAAACTACTATTAAGCAACCATAATATGCACAGCTGTGATATAACTACCCGTTAATTGGAATAAGGCTACAATGACAATTTTATGCATATAAAACCTAGAAAAGTATACCTGGAAACAGGCCGAAACAACTTAACTTACCTCAAGATCTATCATGAGTTCAATGAATCTCTCACAATAATGAACTTTGTCCATAGAAATAGGACCTAGATAGAAATAAAAATCTTTGTAATTGACTCACACCATAATATGCTTATATTTAACTATTCTTTAAAAATATATTAAATGTTGCTAATACACAGTATTAACACAGTATGACCTTATAATGAGACTAGAAAACTAACTAGTACCTTTTTCTCTTTTCCAGAAACAATCCTTTCCTTCACTGCAAACTAGAAGATTTTTGGATATAGAAAAGTAATGGAACCAGACTTTTAGAAGGGAAGTTATTAAACGTCCAAACTCTACTATTATATGATCTTGTGAAAACACTTAAATGAAGCACTTAATAAATTAGTGTGAAATAGAAGTGAGATTGGTGTTAAGATTTTCTTCTAATGAAGCAGTCAGATGTGCCATCTTAGATCTAAAAAGAAACAAAAATGATCTAGAAAGTGGTACTTTTACCAGTATCTTATCCATTTTATATTGGAACTTCACCAAATGAAGCATTAAGGGCTACACTGCACAATGACAAAAGCAGTACGTAGAGCCTTTAGGTGGACTGCTGAGGAGCTTTTAAGATCAAGTCAAAACATAACACCAAATCTACTTTAATGAACATCTATTTCCTAAAGCCCCCAGCATTAACTGTTACTCTAAGTCTTTGTAAGACTGATCTTTGCATAACTGGGAAGATGGGAGGTGTTAGGTATCATTTTTGAGGAAATCCTAATACACAGAAATTCCTGTACAGCTCAGGAAAACACTTAGCAAACTTCAGCTCTCAAAAGCAAAAGCAGAACTTTGAGAATTGATTTTACTCAGTGATTGGTATACTACAGTGCTGTGCTTGAAGTACAATAAGCTTTTTTTTTTTGTCAAAAGGCTAATGCCTTCCTGTAGAAACACTTTTCCTTTCTAAATCAGGCGAGCATGTAATTTTGCTTGTCACAATGATTTATAAATCAAGAGCAGTCAAATCTTACAGAATTGCACTTCACTTAGCTTTTTGTTCTCACCATAGAGAACAGTAGTGAGAGAATATATACTTATGATATGCATTTATAATATCTGTTTAACAGGACAACTAAGTACGCACTAAAATGCTTTAATGCTGTAAGGGTATAAGCAAGCAATGAAGAATATCACTTCCCCAAAATATATTTTTAAGTCCATACTGAAAAGAAGTAGAGGAGATTTAAGGTAGCTTTCTGCTATTTCATTTTTAAAGCATATGAAAATTTGAGTACTAATTTTGACATGAAATCCATGCAGTCTTTCACTAAAACCCTATATAGATAAGTTCTCCAATGTCAGGTTGGTATCCTAAGGAGTAGTTGCTTCTCAACAACAGAGAAAAATTTAAGGCTGATTATTAGATGTTAAAATAACAAAAGAACCACAGTTACCTGAGACGGGTATTGATTTCAGCACAGAAATAAATTTCTGAATGAGCTGTGACAGAAATCTTCTCTCCCGATAGGCTCTAAAATGAGACATATGACAAAAGTATTAACACTTCTGAAATGCAGACTAGAAGTACGCCTTATCGAAATTAGCTGCTTTAACATTTGTATAATGATAAGTTTGCTTGAAACCATACCTAAACTGTTTAGATGATAACTTTTCTCCTTTTGTTTGGGCAGACAGATTAGCAGAATCTCTATTTTTAACTTCCAGCACAAAACTGATTAACAAGCCATGCTTCTACTGAGTAATAGAGAAGTAGGCTACCACCTGCACTTTACTTCACTGTGACACCAAAAATTTTGGAACACTTATCTTTGTTAAGATACACACAGGTTTATTCACACACTTTAATCGCTGTTCAAGTAAGAGCTAAATCTTTGCTGAAGGTCATAAAAAATACGAGTAACTATATGAATATTCTCATACGCACCTCATAGCTCTAAAATTTGGAATCATGAATTCACTGATCAAATAAAATGTTAAGTTCTTTAATATTGTTTTGCATAAAGACTACTGGAAAACAAAAGTTTCCAGGGGACCACAGATGATCAATCCTTATTTGCAATCGTTAGAGGTTTTAGTTTATTTGTTTTTATACTATACATATTATTATTAAAACAACTTCACTTAGCTGAATTATAATAAATTCATTAAGGGTTTAGGCTTTAATACAAAAAAAAGATTTCTGTAACATACTGTGTTCTTGCCTCTTCATTCATTTTCTCATCATTTTTCTTAATTAGATTCCAGAATTTTCTTAGTTTTGGTGTCTTTTTCAGCTCTTGTTCCAGTCGTTTCTGAAAAGGTAAAATGGTATTAATTCACCAAGAATTAAGAATTCCCCCGTTTTCACAAGGGAAGTAAGTATTGAGAGTCTCAATAATCCCAAGTACTTATTCTGAGAAATACCATAGAAACCACTGATACATATCCGCATAGTGCCAGTTAATCCAGTCCCACTGCATTTATCATTCTCAGTTGTCTTTTTGGTATTATTCCTCCCTTCCCTATTCCGGTGTTTTCTGTTCCCACACAGCAGATCCATTTCCCAGTCCCAGAGTTCTCATGTCCTTGTCTACAAATTATAGCTCGGAAATGCTATAGGCATCAAAGCTTTGTTTTATGAAAAAATAAAATAAAATAATAGACAGAACAACAAATACAAATGAACAATACAATTACAAGGAAATGTACAGCAAACGGAAAAGGCCCTCCACCAGCTTCGTAGCCCTTTTTTTTTTTTTTTAACCAAAAATATAATACCATAGTAACATAGGTAGCTTCATACATTAGACAAAAATCAGTCACTATACAATTCACACCCCAGGACTCCCATACTGCCTAGAAGATGACTGCCAGTTTACAGTGCTATGCTTACAGGTTGTAGAGCCATCCACATTGGTAAGGAAATTAGCTGTTGCACCTGACTTCTGATCAAATCCACTTCCTGTTAGAAAGTCAGAGACATAAAAAGTGTTTATTAAGAGCTCTTGTATTTTCTTATGTGCCAGTCTTACAAGTATATTCTTACAAAATGGATCAACAGACATTACCATCAAAGTATATGTATGTTGCAATATTAGATTTCACAATTTCCTGAAAAGAAACTACACAGTATCTCTCCCCGGTAACTCTTAAAATTGTTGATGACTTTCTCATTTTAGGTTCTTTTCATGGATTCTGTCAGTTCTTAATACTTTGTGAGGGGCTTTATCCAGGTAAGTATTTTAGGATAGAAGCTGAGAACTGATGTTATATCTTCAGTCATTTCTTGCCCTTGAACTGAGTTTTCTTACTCTGCTTTCTTTTTACTCAATTCTTTTTAAAATCTATTCTAGAGGTCTCGGAAAGCCCTTCAATTATCAAATTTCTCCCACTTCATCTACATTCTTCTAATTCTAAAATACCAAATTTCTCTGTAATTCAATGCTCTTTCTCCAACTCTGCCTGTGATCTGCATCCACAAAATTTTGCTTCTTTCCTTAACTACTGAAGAAACATAGAATCATTAAGGTTGAAAAAGACCTTCAAGATCATCTGATCCAACCATCACCCTACCACCAATATCATCCACTGCACCATGTCCCTAAGTACCAGGTCCAACCTTTCCTTAAACACCCCAAAGGACAGTGACACCACCACCTCCCGTGGCAACCCATCCCAGTGCCTGACTGCTCTTTCTGAGAAGAAATGTCTCCTTATTTCCAACCTAAACTTTCCCTGGTGCAACTTGAGGCCATTTCCTCTAGTCCTATCACTGGTTATCTGTGAGAAGAGGCCGACCCCCATCTCCTCACACCTTCCTTTCAGGTAGCTGTAGAGAGCAATAAGGTCTCCCTTGAGCCTCCTCTTCTCCAGACTAAACATCCCCAGGTCCCTCAGCTGCTCCTCATAGGAATTGTGTCCCAGGCCCTCCACCAGCTTTGTAGCCCTTTTCTGGGCACGTTCCAGAGCCTAACTTCCACCAACATCTTAAATATATCTTCATGGACAAATATTCCGTATTCAGCATTCTGAAACTTCACACTTTGGTACTCCCTATTTAAAACATCACTGTGACTATCCTGTTCTGCACCTCACAAAGAAGTATAGCTTCTAATATAAGTATGCTTTTGCAAGCACATTTATACCAGCTTACATATTGCGTTTTATGATAAATGTCCTGCAGACAGGACGACATAGAGTCACTATCAAACTCTCCTTTAAAAGGAAGATTAATGAACTAGACACGTGAGGGTGACGATGATTACTGGCTCCAATGATCATCCCTAATTCCAAAATCAAATCACACACTTCCTCAATTGCTTTTTTTGTGAGACACTATTTAGTTCTTTGCTTGTGCAAACCCTGATTTTGACCGATACATCCTACATCTAACACAAAGTCCAGTTACAAGAGAGGTAACAGTACCATGTCTGATATAAAAGACTTTTGTTTTACTCTCCACAATTGCAAACTAGGATCAAGAACTGTGCCCAGTTTTTACTGGGAGGAACACAATCTGGCCAAATGGTTTCTTAAGACTAACTCAAAAAAGTGCAGACAAATATTACCTAAAACCTAATTTCAAAAGCTAATAAGTCTGCCATCTGTCTCAACTGTTAATAAAAAACAATGGTTGCAATGTGGCAACAAAACTAAAAAAGTACAGTAGTAACAAATTTGCTTTTAAGGGTAAGCCACCTTTTTAAATAAAAACATTTTTAAGCACAATTTGAAATACGTCTCTAAATTGCAGTAAGTGTCATTACTCCAAATTTTTAGTCTCTTACAATGTTGTGTCAACATAAATGTGGTGACAGAAAGGGTAAAAGCTGTTCAGTACCACCATTGTCTCTAAATGGAAATTTTGCTTTATTTGTTTCCTAAGGAATTACTAAAACTAAATTGCTGCTAACTCAGAATGGTGTAACCACAAGTATTAGTTGCTTTTAACATACCAAACTATTGAAGCAATGATCAAGGAAAAGCAGGAGGACTGTTTGTTCATGCAGAGAGAATTCATTGTCATTCTCAACCAGTGACGCTTCCAATATGCATTTGAAGAAGAAAGGAAAGTGTTCTGGCTTTTTTTTGAATGTCTAGGAATAAAAGAGAAAGTTAATCTTGAGTCAAGGTGATACAAATTATCTTCATTCACATAACACAGATTGAGACCTCCAGGTTCCCTTAAATCTGTAAAAGGAAGAAGGATTTATTTCTCTCTCTGTCGTTTAGTCTGACCAGGCAGAGCAAGCAAAACACTTGATATCTTCTTACAATATCCTCCTATTAGGGAATCCCAATAGACAGGAGAGCTTAGAGGAACTGCTGCATTCTGCTTGGCCTCTAACACAGGTGATGCATAAGACAAACTGAACAAGAAGAGCAAGTGGATTGGGTTGTATTATGGAAACACTCAACTGATGATCACACAGTGTTACTGCAAAATGACACAGGTTAGAAAAATTCCTTTAGATCCACAGAATTGGTAGATTTTAGCCAAAACTATAGCAGCTGTTTAGTGATCTAGAAAAAGCAAGCAAGTAAAAACAACAAAGATTAACTACAGTTGTGGACCTTACATTCAACTGCCTCAGACAGAAAAAGATAGTCAGTAACTGTGGCAATAGTTTCTTTAAAAGGGCAGCCACATACCAAATAACGAATTTAACTAAACTGCTTGGATGATTACATGCACCTGTCATTTTGCTTCTAGCACCTACACCAAAGCAAAATAGAAGACACAGACATCACATGCCCAAGTTATTAATCCTTTGTGTTTTGCCAGAACTGAAGTAATAGCACAACTACCAGAGTAAGCGTGCTTCTAAAGTGATGCTTGCACAGAATTTCTAAGTAGGCTCATGTCATTGGGATGTCCTGTGAGAACTGAACTAATTGTAGAAAAACACATTATTTCTGAACCTACTACTACACAAAACAGTATAAATAGAATCAGAATAAGAGATTACTTTATGATAAATTTCATGCAGAAACCATATTCACAGATTTTAAGCAAGACAGTATTAGTTAAAATGTCAGACTTCCAGCGGTGCCTTCTTATACCCCCAGATATAAAAATTCTCTCTTTTCTTTCAATATCAGAGAAATAACTTCTCTGCAAATGCCAGACTTGTTGAGTGGCAAAAAAACCAAACACTGCTGATGTAAAAGCATCATGCAGCAGAACAAAAGACTCATGCTCCGAAAAGAATCAGGTGATCTTCCATCCATCCCCTGCCTTCTCAGAAAAGAACACACTTTAAAATACCATACGAGACATTCCAGCTGAGGAACCATTTACTGTTAACACTACAAGATTTGTTACCTTCTGTCAGTGTAAGTGAGCACACTGCAGAAGCTGCAACTTGTGGATAAAAGTCAATTCTAGCTGTAATTGTAATTGGTTACCTCCCACGCAGGGACATTCTCTCTGAACTTCTCATTCACCATACAGCAGATTGACATTAAATATGCCTTACTGGACACCTCTGGAGAATAATTCATCCATAGGTAATTTTCAAGGTACTGGCTGTGAAGAGACAAAGAATATTTCATTAGTTGCTGCCACCCACATAATCTGTCACTCATGTGAAAAAGCACTTATCCACAGGGTTGGGTTTTTTTCTTTTTGCCATTTTTGTAGTTTGTGAATAGTTCCTGAAGTTACCCCTCATCTAGGTCACTGCAGCAGAACTTGTTAACGGCAGGCTCAGCTCAGATAACTGCTACAAGAGACAGATGAATTCTCATCAGGAAGAAACACCACTCAAGGAGGATTTCAAATGTGCTAAGTAGCCACAGCTCAATGCAAAGTCAGAACATGAACTCAAACTGATTTTCCAGAACGAAAAAACAAAACCTGCTTGTCTAAAGAATGTCACTTATAGCATTTCCTAGCATAAGATGCAAAAGACAACTACTGTATAACGCTATTTGTATTATTAAACACCTCTTGCTATAAAAAAATAATCATCCAGAGATTTTGTTTGCAATCATCATATAAAGGTAGTAAAAAAAAATAAAACAGTGTAACTAAAAAACTTTATTATGGGAGAGATCAAGTGATTTCAAGAAAGTAGGAAAAATTACTGGACACTGGGAAATAGCAGCTTCCTAGCAACATGCACTTCTTCATTAACATGGCACATTTCTCACAGAAGAAACTCTTAGAATAAGAGCTTGGAGATGAGGAGCAATTTGGACACACAACTGTTGCCCTCTTCTAACTACCAATTGAACCTACACAGGATAGCTACTCCCAAGGAGGCACTCTCTAAATTCAACCTTTTCAACAGTGTACTTGCACCCTATGCCATCAGAAAGTCTTGTTTCTTCTCAGGCCAGGTGTTCACCTGCTCTCCTCTTAATACCAGCTCTAACATTCTTTTTGCCCTTCCTGAGACAATCCAGTTTTACTTATTTACTTTTTCCACAGCTTACTATTTTCTTGATGCAGTAAGCTACTTCAATCACTTCAGGTAAGACAAGTACCAGAGACAGTGGAGAAAAAAGGCAGAAAGGGCTTGTATGTAGCCAGGACCAGAAGACTCAGTTAAGGGTCAGACAAGAATTGATACTTTCTGGGGGCTCAGCCAGAATGCATAGCATCAAATAGAGCAGCTGAGATAACTTCAGAGGCATATTCAAGATGGAACATATACTGCTTCCCAAGAGCTTGAATCTGCCAACAGTAGGGGAAGAACATCCACAAAATCCAGAGATAGTTCCATACTTCATTTTCTCTCAGGCATTTTAATAAACTTCAATACATTTCAATAATAATAATAAAAAAAACAGTAACACCCCCAAGTGAGGATAAACACATGTGAGTATGAATGGAGAATAGGAAAATCCTATGTATTTTGTACATAGGATGTGTCAAGAGAACTTAAGGGACAGATGAGGAAAGAAGCAAAAAAAATAGAGAGAAAAACGACTTACAGGACAAATGGCAGTAGATGGGGCTATACACCAGAAAGTACTTCAATTACATTACAAACCGATAACATTAAGAACATTCACAGAAAGGATTAAAAGACTAACTCCATGGTATTGCTTTCATGCAGATTCCAGAACAGGCACGCTACCAGTGCACTATTTGTCAAACCCAAAATCATAGCTTACATTTGCTCTTGTGCCTTTTCTATTAAAGAAAACAAAAGAAAGTTTATCCTACTTTTCCAGTTAGTGGTACTAATATATTTCAGCCTTTCCAAGCAAAGAAACCATCTCAATGAAAACCCATCTCATTCTGCCTGCTCATAAGATTTGAGACAACCAGAATACTAAATATTCCATTTGTAAATACGTAAAATTGCAAACGTGTTTTACACCATTTTAGAATGCTAAGCAAGCCCAGCAAAGTCTAAAGTAGTTGTAAGAATCTTCTAAACTGACTTCAATTTCTTTTCAATTGAAGAAAGTTTCATGATGGTGTTGCAGCAAATTTGTTTTTACCCTTGCAGGAAAAGACTTAACCCAAAAAACTTCCACTGACTTCACTGAGTGCTGATTTACCACTTAATGACACATTTCAAATTACAGACCCAAGTTTTTCACCTATTTCATTCCTACTCTGTTCTTTAGTGCTTCATTTATACTAGAAATTCAGAGTCATAAAACAAGATATTCTGATGTTACTTATGCTTATGAAACTATTTTCTCATAAAATTCAACTCTCCTCACTCAATTCTCCTATGTGTTCAAGGCTTTAGTAAGCAAATGAGTATACAGCCTTCAAGCAGATCCACTGTTCTGCATTTGCTTCTCATCATTGAGTTCCTACAGAAAAACAACTTAAATTTCACTCATTTAAGTTTACCTGAATTCAAGAAGCATTATCTTTCTAATAGCAAACCTAAAAAAGGAAAAAAATTAATCAATTAACATAGAAAAGAAAGCCTCCCATGCACATTTAGCTTAGCTACTTCCTCCCACACACACACTCTTATATAACAAAACCGATTGAAGCATCTAGAAGGTATCTTCCCACACACACAAATATACATTTCTAGGCAACAGCAATCACTGGAATACAGTGCTTAACTGCTATAACATTGTGAAAGCTAAAGTTCATGCAGGATCATTAAGTAACCAATGAATTTACATATAAAAAAAATCTATTTTTTTGTTTGTTTGTTTGTTTTTGAAATATGAAGACACCACTTCCAACAGTCTTGAAGACATTAAATTGCTGGAAACTGACCGAGTATTCTGGAAAACTACAACTATATATTTATTCAGTTTGTAATGGTATCACTTCTCAGTCAATGGAACTGCAAGCTTGCTCTGATTCTTCATGGCAATTTTTTGATGACTTTCATAAAGCAATCATAAATAGGATTATCTCCAGAGTTCAAACTTCAGAAGAATAGATACAAATAGCTTTGGTCACTACTCTTTTCTATACACAAAGCTGTAGAAAAGAGTTTATCGAGATTTTTTTTTTTTTCTCCATCATCTAACATTAAAACTTACTGAAATGAGACTCTCACTAATTACAATAATTACGAAAAACAAAAAAGCTAGGGGCACCACAATCCTTAACTGTTTTTTTTCTTTACATACCTCAGTGACAAAGGAGGGACCAGCCTTCTATAACCACCACAACACAAAACTAACACAAATCACAACATACTAGCAGATCAAGGAACCAAGCAATATTATGCCCAACCCTCATATTCAAGGAGAATGAGCTCATGAGCCCCTCATATTCAAGGAGAATGAGCTCATGAGCTTTCTTTTTACCACATTCAGACTGAAAAAAATATAAGGATTAAATTACTAGAATGAACTTGGGCCATCTTCACTTGCTTCAAACAGAATTTCAATGAATTCTATGGAACATTAGGAACAACTGCAACAATGATGGAATGCTAGTCTATATGAAACTGACTAGTATACTTTGCACATGTTTATACTATACTGTTTGTAAATGTTTATACTAGTATACTTACTTTGACTTGACAATTTCTTTTGTATATACATCTTCAATAACCTATGGGGAAGAGTAATTCAAAAAGTTTATACTTCATGAAATTATTAAAAATGTATTAAGATATTTAACAGAGTCAAAGTTCCTCTCTATTAGTTACTCTCTGCTTAGTGCTATTTGATGAAATATGTCATAACAGGTAAGTCTCAGCTCTGATGAGACCAAAACCTTCACAGACATATATTTCTGACAAAGAAAATGAATCAACACAGGGAGGAAAAAAAAAAAAAAAAAAAAAGCACCTAACGATACAGAATCGATAGGACCTTCATTCAAGTTATTCATTAGAAATAAGCTAGGTCTCACTGAGACTTTATGTAAAAGTCAAAGAGATATGCAAGCCTTATTATTGTTGGCTTACTGTTGAATTTAAGGAACACCCTTTGAGGAGTCAAATCTGTATCAACCCAATCATCAATTGTCATTGTTGCTTTTAAACAACAACTAACCAATTCCTGCCACTCCTACCCAGTTTTTACCATAGGAATAAAATAATCTGTTCTATCCGCTGCAATACTTGCTTTGACATCACATGACAAAGATCTGTAATTCAGCTGCTTATCTTCATCTTAGTTCTAACAGTTGCAAGTACTACAAAAAGCAAGCAAACTGAGGCTGAAAATGGAGACTTTGCTAAAGAACCACAAGAGAAAGAAACCTAATATTGAAGGACCCTGCACTACAGAAAGCCATCACAAAACCAAACGTATTAGGCCAAGCTTTAAACATTAAAAACACAGATATCCACCTGAACAGCACTCAAGTTGTCCACTCAAAACTCTCTGAAGAATTTTTAAGTTAAGTATTGCATGTATTTTTCATCCATTGATTTTTAAGAATATCTCCTCAGACATCTTTTACACTCAGTTTCTTCGCTCAAATAAACTGAACATATAGCACACAAAAAAATGTGCTGCTATTGCATATCATCACAACAGTGCATACATTTATGAATTACAAATAAATAACAATCAACTTATAACTACAGCGTGTTAAGTAACTGGTGAACTTTCAAACAGTCTCCCATACTCTTCTACAATATAGGTATCATCAGAGGTCAGCATGACAGAATATCATTGATCTTCCTTCTTTCACACCCTGGCACAGTTCTGGTAGGATTTCTTACCTTTGAATCAAAGCACAATTTTTTCTTCACATGCGGAGCCCAGTATTTATTTGCTAACTGTATGAAAAATAAAAAAAAAAAAAAAGAAAAAGAAAGGGCAAATACATTTATTTTCAATTGTAATGACAGAATAGCTCTGTAACAGATCCAATCCCCATGCTTTATTTCACTTTTTTTTTTTTTTTTTGCTGAATTTCAGGTTTAACTACATACACCAATGCTGTTTTTCCAACAGCAGTGCTTTTCAACCACTTAATATTCTACATCTAAACATTTTCTGAAAGAAGCGCGATACTCTGTAAGAGTTTCTGATGCAGAACAATATATAGTAAACACCTTCTTTTGTTATTTTTGTTAGGCTACCCCTAACAAATCCCTCCAAAATACACCAGGATTTTTCAGTGGCTGCAAACTGCAGCCTGCAAGCCTCAGGCAGAGGTGAAGGCAGCAGGTCAGGGCCTAACACTGCAGGGCTGCCGCTGGAGCCGCCCCTGCATCGCTACCAAGCTGCGCCGCCAAGGCTTTCCTGGACCCCTTTAACCACACTTATCCGTGCTGTAGAGGAGGATGGAAAGCAGCATTTTCAGCACCTGTGAAGCTACTTTACGTACCAGCTGCGAGGCACAGCCGGCCGCTGTTTACACACTGCAACAGGCCTGATTACTTCTACAGCGCTCTAATCTGAACGTTTGGGGGCACACGCGCTTCCCTGCGGTGACACAGACCCTCAAGCACCCCCGCGGCCCTCCCCGACAGCCGCGGCTCCCAGCGGCCATTTAAACGAGGCGCTGGCACTGCCAGGCCGCACAGCGGGGCCGGGCTCCCGAGCAGCGCCGGCAGCCTCTCCAAACCCCGCCCCGGCTCAGCCACCCGCGGGGACCCCCCCGGTCCCTCCTCGCCGTGCCCACCTGCGTGACGAACTCGGCGTTGATCTGCGATACGGTGGGCGCCACGATCTTCTTGGGCGGCGCGGAGGCCGTCGGCGCCGCCATCGCAGCACCCGCCGGGCAGCGCCGGTGCCTCTCCCTCTCCCTGCCCTGCCCCGACCCGGTCCCGGTCCCGGCCCCAACCCCAGCCCCGGCCCCGTGCCTCCCGGCGCCGAGGGGAGCGGAAGGCAGCAGCGGTACGGAGCGGTTCCGGGGCGCGACGGCCGGGCGGGGGGGACGGAGGGGATGCGGTGTCGCCACCTGCCGCGCCCTCCCGGCCCTGCAGCCCGCACCCGGCCGGTGGCGGCGGGGCAGCGCCCCCCGGCGAGGGAAGGACAGCGAGACCCGAAAAGCCTGAGGGGAGCTGCAGCCGCCTGGGCAGGCCGAGGTGGAGCCCAGCAGCCCCTATAGCCCAAGGAACCAGGCACGGAAAGCCTGAGCGATCCTGTTTGATTGTTTAGAGCAAAAGTTGTGGTCCAAACAGTGTCCAGGAGGTGGAAAGGACCTGTTCTTATTAATGTCGGGCAGCACCACCATCACAGCACTGCTGCGTGTTCTGTTCGGTGTGTGCACCCATAAACTCGGGGAGGAGAGGGAAGGCAAAGGTAAGAGGGAAAAACTACGTGCTTACACAAGTCGGCAATTTGGTAATCAGTTAGACCTGAGAGCAATTAGCTTACTCTATTCGGTACGCAGATTAATTAGGGGGGAATTTAACAGAATCTCTAGAGAGGTTCCAGTGCTTTGTTTCTTTGCTCATTATCCAGCACCTGCCACTTGAATACTTTAAACTTCCAGGCAGATATCATTGAAGTCTGTTTGAATATGACCTCCTTTGTTTTGATATCAAGGTGATCTCCACTTCATTTCTTCAAGCAGAGGTTAAACTAAATATTCTTTTTGAAGTTGAATTAGAATGTGCAATGGGAATGGAAAAAGTAATGACAGTGCCTTGAATAGGATCAGACAATGGCTGTATTCAAATAAATACGCCCACTGCATGCCTTTGCTTTAAAGCTTCCAGAACGTGTAAGTTTTCTGTATGGAAACAAGTTAAATAAAAAAAGTTACAAAAGTACTGGTAACAAATTCTTTAAATAACAAGGACTGAACACTATTTGTCTAACAATTGAAGCCCTTAGAGAAACAGGCATTGGATGAAAATATGCAAATATAAAGCAATTTATTAAAATAGACTTACACCGATGCACCCTGTCTGACACTTAAGTTGTAATAAAAGTAAGCAAGTTAAGATGCTTATTTTAAATTAGTCTGGAGTTTGCAGCTTCATGATTGATTTAGGCTTATCAGAATCTACACTTGACACCAAAAGGGTAATTATACTTGCCCTTTCTCCATCACTTAGTACACCATCTAGCATCCATGGACACATATAGAAAATATGAGTAAAATTTACCTAAGCTCTGAGCTGGCTGGATGAGCCATGTTAGCATGTTGCAGCACCCTAGCTAATGTGTTGGAAAGAACACTGTAGGCAGCACCATCTTCCACATTAGCTTGTATTATATCTGACTACTTCAGAAATCACTGTAGCTTATGTTTGCATGTATCAGAACAAGTGGAAATGTAACAGCTTGAAAACCCCTTGGCTTTCAAAAAAGTTGGTTTTCAGATGAGAGCTGTAAGTCTGACCTGTGTTTAAGAGACAGCATGGGACACTTAGTAGAGGCTATAATGTTTTCATGAGATCAGAGGTAACAGTAATTAGTCCTTAAATTTCTTTTCTAGTAGCATGTCTAAGTGCCACCCACAAGGCAACATTTTAGGAGCTATTTCCACACCAAAAAGTAGTTAGGCAAATAAATTTTGGAATTGAGCTGATAAATTATCTAAAACAGCTTTGCAAAGCTAACTCAAACCTGCTGACCTCTGTTTGCGATAGATCATCAGTTGCATCAAACCCCTCAAATTTCCACATGGTATCAAAACTGTGAAAGCTCAAGGAGGAATCCATGTTTCTTGTACTTTCAGCATTTGGATGTCCCAGTGCGATTAGCTGTCTTAAATTTCGTAAAGCTCAATTTCGTAAAGGTCAAACAGAGGTCCTTCCAGAGGGCAAATCAGGACTCATTTAAGTGCTTTGAATGAGCTTCTGGTATTGGAAACTAGTATTAGATGCCTAATGCTAGGTCATATGATTACAGCCCTCAGTAGCAATGCCAAATAAAGCAATAAAGATCTCACCCCTATAAGTAATGTATTAAATATTTCTCTATAAGGGGTATTGTTTAGTTACATTAGCCCTATGATAGTACAGTAGATGGACATTGAAATTACTTAGTAATATTTTGGCAAAGTATGTTGTTTTCAAGTCTCAAGAGTAGCTGAACCTTTAAAAGGGAGTTGTGGTGAGACCAGACATAATGGTACCCATGATTGTGTGTGTGTCCCCATCTGAGACCCTCACCCCAGCTCACAACTGTCTATTAAAACTAATTTCTTGAACACTACACTCAGTTTTCCCCAGAGCAGAGTCACATCTGTCACTTTCCACCCCAAACTGCTTTGTAGTCAAGGGAAAAATAAAACCCTGCACCCCATCTTCTCCAAAGCCTTCTGTGAAGTTCCACAGCTTTCTGTACTCATTGACTTAATGCGTCAAAAAATCAAATATTCTTTCTTTTCAAAAATCTGTTAATTCATTCATGAAGACATATATTATTTAAAAAGTCACACATTTGAGTAGATGCTGTTTTCAAGACTGTTACACTTTTTTAGGCTGCATATAGTCCTGGTCAATTTATATTCAATGCCACTTTCTTGCTTAACTAGCTCTTCTTGTTTTGGATGCTTGCCCTTCTATATTAACGGAGCCAGCAAAAATATGCTTCTCTCCTTTTCTTTGCCAAGGTCATGAATAAGCTGGCCATTGCTTTTATCTCAGCAATATTCTTCCAAATACGGTATCTGTGCATTAGGAAGTAACTAGAGATAATCAGCAGAGGCTGAGTCTGTGTTCCATCTTGCCTTTTAAATTATTTTGGGTTCTACCTAGAGTCACAGAAATGATTATCGTGCTGAAACTCCAAGCAATTCATCTGTGTTTCTAATATTAATAGATTTTTTTAGGTTTGTTGTTATGTTTGGGTCTTCAATGAGACATAATATAAAGCAAACTGCTGATGTTTTTATACTCCAAAACAATTCAGTAGCTTGATGTCACTTTTGTAAGAAATTTGTGGGCTTGTATCTTGGCTGTGATGCTAACTTGTTATGTGCATTATTTAACTATTAATTAGAAATACAAGGACATTTTGAGTTTGCAGAGTGCTTTGAATTGCATATGTATTATGTAAGGTGTAAATATAATTCTTAATTCCCTTTCAGTGGAAAAAGAATCTCAGTAACATGCACACATCTTATGCCATGTTTAAATTACAGCCTGTTTTTACTCCATGTCATACCAATATGCTTGTCTAGCAGAGAATCCCTCCTACAGAATTTTGCTGAGTGGAAACACTTTTTTTCTTTAAATACAAGCATAACTAATACAAACATAAATACAAGCAATAAATAAAGAACTCAGACACACTAAAGAGTAAAAAGAAACCATACAATACAGATTTAAGCCATCATGGTTAGAAAGCTACTGCAGCTCTTTAAAATAAGCTTTTAAATCTAGCCTGTTGAATTGTACACTTAAACACAACAATTTTATTTATTATCTCTGAAGAACTCTGAAACAGAAAATTCCAAACATGACAAACATCGTCTCATCGTGCATGCAGCCTTGTACTTACAGCTTTTCTTTTAACTGAAGGAGGAAAGTGACTGTGGATTTGCAACATTTTGAAATATTACTTCCAAAATTATATGAAATAAGTTTTAAAAAGGGATGGAGGAATGAATGGAATGGAAATGGAATAATATGTATGTTACTCAAGGAAGAAAAGAAACCTCCTTTGTCTCTTACCTGTTGAAATGATAAAATAAATGTATTGATTTAACTTGCTTTCAGGTTAAAAAATAATAACCAGAAAGCTTCTCTTAAAAGATCACAGGAATCTTTCAGCACATATAAAGTTTAGGCATGATGAGAGGGGTTATTTCTTTGGATATAGTTTATCTTCAATAGTAGTCAAACTAACTGTTCAGTCTGTTCACTATGATTTTAATTCAATCACGTCATACTGCTTTTACAATTTTATTTATGTGCATTCTTCTAGTCCAAGAGTTTGTCACAGTGTTCATCTCATTAAATACGGGTACTCACTCAGTAAATATGTGTACTTCCAAGTATGTGTACTTCTACTCAGTAAATATGGGTACTTTCAAAAATGATGCCTCAGTTTAGTAACAGATGCTTCTTAAAATATTTAGAATTTTAAAGTGTAAAGAAGCCGTCAGTAGCATTCTGATTTGTGTATAAATATTTATTTAGCACACGTTCTGGCCAATGTACTGCCCTTGATTTTTGTGCAAAACTTACAGTAACTTCAATGGAAATTCTGAGCTCATGAGTAGAGAAAAATATGGCTAATTCAGCAACCCAGCTGCTTTTATATCCCAGAATAGCAAGCAGTGCCTCTAGTGAGGGAGGTGGGGAAATATGGGAGTTTATGTCATTCTTAGCTTTCTGTTGCTGGGCTCACATTTCACTAACAGCTCAACTTAGCACAGACTCTGGGGTATCCTAATTCTCTTCAGGGACTTTTAGCTGGATTTATAGCAACTGGAGCAAAACAGTGGTATGAACATAAGAATTCAGTGGCTAGTACCTATAGCTCTAGAAATATTTGCTAGAAATCCTGTGAGAGTGCAACATGATACGTGAAAAAATTTCTGTGGGGAAAGTGCCTTCTTAAATCCATACCACAGCTTAACCTCTTTAAACATACTGTTTCCAGCTTTTCAAAAATGTCTTTTCTTTTTTTATTATTTACTTATTCTACTCTCTCTGTCACAGACACCAGAAATTAATAACAGAGAGACTACATGCAGCAGAAATTCTCCACTGGTAAGAAAATTGTAGAAAACTCTCTTAGGAAGATTTGTAGTACTGTGAAATCCTAGAGTGTATGAGCTGAAAAACCGCTGTGTTAACTAGAGTGTCACAGAAGAATGACAAAATTTCAGATCAACCTTTCAAAATAATATGACTTAGATTTAGTTATGTAGCTGACTGTCCATAAGCTCAAATACCCAGAAATAAGACCTCAAAAACTAGAATGGCTGGAAAATCAAGCACACTTTAAGTATTAAGCTACATTTTTCCAGACAAGTTGGATTTGCTCTGTTATGTGAATATGCATTATATTGTTCTAAGTGACAGTACATCAAGACAAGAACTTTAATTAATAACCTCTCCCTCTTAAGTGTGCAACTCTGTATCTTATCTTGCTTGCTGCACACTATTCAAGCACTTTATGAAAGCAGCATTATTCATTTCCTTTAATCTTTGTGCAGGCTCTCAATGTATTAGCAGAGTGCTGCACAAATAATAACTAGTTCTATTTCTGCAAAGCTCTCCACATGGTGTTATTTTCCGTGTTCTACTAAGGGGAAACCGAGTAAGAGTTTATGGCCAAAAAAAACAAACAACCCTTAGCAATGACTACTTAATTTTACATGCATTATACTACATTATAAATTCAAGTACAGGCTCTATTGACTACACCTGAAACTCTAAGATAGTATAGCTACAAGTCACATACAGGATCTTGAGCTGGCAACCAAAACTGAGGAACACAGTGACAAGATGACTGTGGAAAGTCATCTTCAAATGTTTTCCTTAACACTGCAGAAGAACTTTTCAAGAAGATGAGGGAGAGGGCCCAGTTTTTCAAGTCCTGAAGGATTTTTCCTTTCTAGTAATTTGGTAATTCCCTGCTGTTAATACTGCAGACTTGTCTATAATAAGACCTTCTACACTAACATGTAGAAATTAGGTTACAAGTTATTTTTAAACACGTTCAAGACATACTTTCCTCCACAGCTGTGTGTAAGATAAAGCCTTTTAATTTGCTTTCTCCTGATTTCTAAATTCTATAATTTAATCCATAAAGTGTTTCACTATGGCATAGAACGGCATTCTGACTAGCACAAAAGGTAATCAATGCTATCTTTTTTTAACAGTCCTTATACCACAGGCTCAACATTTCTAATTGGGGAGGATTTTCAATTTAGAGAGCTCCTCTACTGCATACATCCTCAGTAACCAAATCAGATCCTATTTTCCTAGTACTCTGATCAAAGATCTAAGATGCCTTATATTTAAAAATAATAATCATGAAAAAGAAATGTTATGTGCCACTTGATATGTTTTCAGAAGCAATGCTATCAGTTTGGCACTGCAAGTAGTATTCCTTCCACCATATTAATTATTAGGACACACAATACAAAAATAAAGTTTGCTTTATCTTTTATTACTACTTACTATAAACTACCAAGGTTTGCTTAACTACCCTAAATACCCAAACCATTCAGTGGATAAGGAGACACTGTCTACTACATCACAGCTGGTCAGTTTCTTGCATACTCATGTACTGCTCCTCATACTACACTTTCAAATGGCTGGCCCCAAACTCACCAGTTCCCCAGCCCCATACGTGGGCCCTCAGACCTCTTTCATGTATTTCCCTACCAAGATGCACATCCCCTTTGCATATACTTTTCTAGTTTAAAATTCCCACTCACCAGCACACCATATTCTTCTTCATTACTCATGCATCTCATGTACAGCCCCACAATTTACTTTCCTCTGTAGTCAGACATTCAAAGAATCGTAGAGTTTTTTGGGACAGGTTCTCAAGGCACCATTTTGCATATACTGTGGCAGCAGGTATGTGACAAACAGCTCTGTGACCTTCTGTAAGTCACATACCAGGTTTCACAGATCCATACGAATTAGGATCCATATATCCGGTGTGTATATATACACACACACACACACATATATATAGTATAATATACTATACTGGAAAGATTCCAGCGAAAAGGAAAAATTTCAGCCACATACACAAATTACGTCAGGTGTGCAACAGAATCAAGTCATACATTAGCAGATCCAGGAAGAAAACAAGAACTGAAATGGCAGAGTACAAAATTAAAACAGCATTCAAAAACCTGTGGTATCTCATGGCAGACAATGTGCATGTTCGAACAGTGGTTTCTGAACAAGGAAATGATCAGTTCTACTAGTGTGTGATTTTGTTGGTGTAAGGCTGATTAATCCTCCATTTTCATGGACTTTGAAGATTTACTTTTAAAATAGATGCTAAAAAAGATGCTGTTTAGAAGCTGCTTGACAGATTTAGTGAAGAAGCCTAATTAATATGCTTTGCCTGGAGAAAATAAGGTATATGAGAACACAAAAGAGTCACATCTGGAATTTCAGTTTTCCTCACAATAATCGTCTCTCAGATGCATCTTACCCATAGCTACTGGATGACAAAACCAGGCTATTAAGTTCAAACTTACACTTAAAAACTCCACATAACTTTGTGTTAGAAATAGGAACCATGACCCCTTTAGTTATTTACAATATCTAGACATTTTGAACAAGGGGCAATTAGGACCAAAACTATAGTTTTTATTGATTCAAGAGTCATCCAACTGTACTTACCTAAGCATTACTCAAGTGAGGTACTGTTATGAGATGACAACTCTCTTCTAGCACAAATGTAAAACGCAAAGCCAGGAAAACTGACCATTAATTCCAATATCACAATGAAGCCAAAGGTCTGATTAATTTCAATTAAGTTTCTTCTGTGTCTGTTTCCCATTTGCCTCATCAACTTTTCTTGTTGGCTGTAGGTACAGTAGCGAGTAGATCACAGACAAGTGACAACCTAATCGCTCAGCAGCTACAAAAACAATAAAATGCTTTTTCTGTCTTTTCTGATGGCTTTTTTTTTTTCCCCAGTTGATTTTTTCCCCCATACATATTTTGCAAGTTGTGACTTTCTGCAAACACTACAAGGATAGCACAGCAGTCATGTAAAGTTGCAAATGTTTTAAAGCTAACCATAGCTCTATTTCCTAGGTGGAAAATGGACTATGTGATCAGATAGGACTACAGTTCCAGGGAATTTAGTACTGCACATTCCATTTGCCTTACAAAAAAAAAAAGGTCCCTTTAACCTGTCTCAGTTTATATATAAGTATATAATAAATATATAAATATTGACCCTTTTTTATATCACATAGCACTTCCTCAAAGCTGAATGCAGTTTGATAAGTTCTCATGAAGGAAGTTCAATATTAACATAGAAAGACCCACCCTTCTGTTTACAATATGCTTCAGAGATTGAAGGCTTAAACTTGCCTGGGATCATGATGGAAAATGACTAACCTACTAATGACCAATGAGAAATAGGATTCTTAACACTGGGAAAATCCCTGTAGCTCAGATTCACAAAGGTACTTCGAGAACTTTACTGTTGACTTCAAGAGACAGGATTTCAATGTTAGATTTTTTTCCCAACTCTTAGAAACCTCTTTACCTCTTTCTAGCTGGTTTATGCTGTAATTCTGCTAAAATTATGAATTTATACTGGCATAAAACTTCGGATAAAAAGAATAGAGAGCTAGATACGCAAAAAGGTCATTACCGCCCTTCTGGAATCCCATGGAAACCAAAGATTACTGTGATTAATTTAGAAATTAATGTAATACTTTCCACCTGGCTATCCTTCAAAGTTACCTTTCTGTATTATCTTCCTCCATTTTACTCAAATCAATATTTTTCAGAACATACCAAGCTTATTGTTCTCAAAACATTACACTCAAACAAATTTTATAAAATGACTGACTTCTTAAAAACAGATCTTACTCTCTTTAAACATATTTATACTTACTTTTTTTGCCATAGAAGTAAAGAAACAAAGCCTATTTGTTCGAACACACAAAGTGCTATTTTGATTCCAAGTTTTAGACTTCTCTGCATACTGAACATTATAATTTCAATACTCTAGTTTGCACATAAAGTATACAACAGAAGTGCAATATAAATAAAATAGTTTATTACAAGAGCTCTACAATACACTTTCAAAGCATCTTATACAGTATTCTCTTTCAATATGAAACAATTCACATGGGGAGAAAAAAAATCTCAATATATTGTCATTCTTAAGATACTGAATTAGCCTGTCATACAAAAATCATAGTAACTGAATCTTCCTTAGCTGTATTCTCTCTCAAAATAGGAAAGAATAATACACAAAACTAAAATAAGAACTCCTTCATTTATACCAAATACTATAAAGCTTATGCCACAGCAAGACCTACATAAATTGCTTCAAGAAATAATAATAATAAAAAAAAAAAGTTTACTTAAATAAATACATATCTATTTAAATAGTGAAAAGAATGTATTTTACAGTTATATTAATTTAGATATAGAATAAAAAATTTCATGTTTCAAATATTCAGAAATTGTGTAACAAAGGAAAATATAGTAAAAGGTAGTTTCTTTAGAGAAAAACAAATTTCATTCTTGTTCTTGATGAATAAAGCTCCACTGCACTTACACTTTTTGCCAGCCCCACAGGCACAATGGGCAAAGCTCTCTACTTACCAGAAGTAAAACTACAGACTCTATTAACACAAAACCAGAAATACTTAATTTGAGCTAAGTCATTTTCAGTCTCTAATATTTAATGTAACAAGAACATGACTTCCCAACAAAACTGGTTGTCTGAGCTATTGTCACAACTTAAGAGAACACTCTTTACTGGTGCAATACACGTCAGAAGGAACAGATAGCAACTGTATGTGTAATATTCATTATAATTTCTTGCCCTCTTTTCGTGTAGAAAATTCAGTATAGCATGAATTGGCAAAAAAAAAAAAAAGAGAGAAAACTTGGAAAAGCAAGATGTTGCAAGAAGTAGAAACGAAGTGATAAAAGGGATTAAATGATTATCAGCCCTGCTACTTTAGCAGTCTAATCATATTTTACCATAAATAAGGTAAAAATGTAATTCCTCACCCACAGATTTCCAAGCATATTGCAAATATCCAGTTCATTTTTCTCTTTATTAACTGTTCTATAATGCTGTTCAAGTTTTTTTATTAAACATTCTTCCCCACTTCCTCAACTTTGTTCTTTTTTTGCATCTTCTTCATCTAAATGTAACAGGTTTTTTTTGTTTGCTTGCTTTTAAAGCATTAACTAAATACAGCAAACATATGCAACACTTGCATATTTGTTTGCAATGTACAGGAAGCCAGAAGAAAGTAAAAGGACCATTTCCTGCATTCTGGAAATTACCTTTTTATCGTTACTTTTGGATCATTATTGTTGGGCAGTGTCATAATAATACTACACAGGAAAAGGTAGGGAGCTCTGCAGATTGCTGCAACACCATCAATACTCTAAGAATGTTTATTTATAAATACATTTAAAGAAAAGAAATGCAAAGTACCTTTTTATTGCTTTTTTGCTTTTTTTTTTTTTTTTTTTTTTACCATTATCTCACTGTCATCACATATTATAATCAAGTACACAGTTCTGAAGACAGCAAATTAACTCTTTATCAGGTCTTCTCCATAACATAAAAAGATAATCCTTTTCAGTCAATTATTCAATGTAATATAAGCCTTTTAATAATTATGCAAACAAAAATGTTAGTTTATAGTTTCATGGGACGGTATCCAGTTTCAATGAAAACAATACATTCCCTTGTTGTTGCTCAGTGGAACTCAGCTTTAATCTTTCTTTAAAGTGAGTAAGGTGATGTCTCTTCAAATGTGGGGACTGTCTGAAATTTTTACCACAAACTGAACATTCAAATGGCTTCTGTCCAGCATGCATTAGGTAATGTCTTTCAAGCTTAGAAGGTGATTTGAAAGTTTTAAAGCAGATACTGCACTGATACACTTTCTTAACATCACTTTTTTCAGTCCCGTCAGAAAAATCATGCCAATAACTGTAGCAGCTTTGCTCTGTTTCCAACAATTTACTACACAAATACGGCTGTGTGTTTCTCCTACTGGTGTCAAGAACAAAGTCCCCTGACTCAATTTCAACTTTGATTTCAGCTGCTTGGTTTGACTGAATCAGCTCAAAATCTTGAAAGCCAGCTGCCTGTGAAGGTGTTTGAGAATAACCCGAATAACCCACAGGCTGAGAAGACTTAAATTCAATGTGATCTCCCTGATGATTGAAAAGTTTGTTCAGATTTTCAAATTCTACCTGGCAAACAGAGCTTTTATAGGGGTTCTTTTCAGTATGGGTGAGCTGATGTCTTTTTAAGTGAGCTGACTGTCTAAATGTCTTCCCACAAACATTACAGCCAAAGGGCTTCTGTCCCGTATGTATAAGATAATGTCTTTGAAGTTTGGATGAAGATGGAAAGATTTTTTCACATCTGTCACATTTACACACTTTGTGTCTGCTATGTATATTTTTAGTAGGAGCTGAAAAAGCACAGTGAAGTACTTCTGGGTTATCAAAGAAGCCATCATCTGATGAACCATAAAAAGCATCATCCTTATTATGCACTGAATCATCGATGTTTAACATGCGCTCACTGGTAAGCATACCTTTTAAATTAATTCCTACTTCGAGAGGTTGTAGATGCTCTTGCCAAGATAATGGCATGGCAAATATTCTTTTTGTCCGATTACTAACTGCTTTGTGCATGTCAAGCTTGCTACAGCAGTCCTTGAAAAATTTAGTGGAAGCATTCTTATCAGAACGCTGATTTCTAACTGCAACCAGGTCAGGACTTTTAAAGTAACCTGATTTCATTTTTTTTCTGCCAGTCACAGAAAAATCTGATGCCTTTCCTCCAGTATGCTTCAGCTTCATCAGGATCCTATTTTTCATGCTGACTGCGTGGCTGAAAGCTGTTGTGCAGTTATTTGAACTTTTGCCATCTCTCAGGTAACATCTGTGCAAGTTTAGAACCTGCTCTGTTTCAAAACACTGTTTGCACATTGGGCACTGAAAGGGTACAATATAAATTGAACGAACATCACGTGGGTCATTCTCCTGGGACTTGTAAGGGTCATTCTCAAAACTATCCATCTTTCCTTCCAACAGTTTCTGCGGTCTGAGATATTTGTGAGTCTTTCCTTTGTATATGATATTGGGCACATTCTTATTTCTGACATGGAGCTGTTTGTGCTTCATGAGCTTGCTCTGTATTTTAAACCCCTTCTGACAAAAGCAGCACTGAAAAGGCCTTTCTTCCGTGTGTGTGAGTTGATGGATTTTCAAATGGGTTGACTGTCTGAAAGATTTACCACATGAAGAACACTTAAAAGGTTTCTGGCCAGTGTGAATAAGGAAGTGTCTTTCTAGCTTAGATCTTGAAGGAAATGTCTTGTTACACGATTCACAAGCATGAGTTTTCTTTCTCCTTCTGGTACCATGTAGATGATCTGCCTTGAGGCACTGATGCAGCATCCACCTCTCTTCAGTTGTAAAAGACTTCCAGCACACAGAACATCGAAATATGCCACAAACGACCCTGTCTTGCTCAGAATCCACAGATTTTTCTGCTTGCTTGATATCATTCTGATAATCTGCATTGTGAAGCTGCTGATGCTTCAAGAAAGTAATTAAGTTTTTGAAGTTCCTATGACAAACAATACACTTAAAAGGCAAATTATGGGTTAATTGATGCCTGTCCAGATGGACTAACTGCCTAAACGTTTTATGGCACACGTGACATTCAAATGGTTTTTGACCAGTATGTATCAGATAATGCCTAGCTAATTTTGATGGAGTTTCAAACTGTTTATAGCAAGTGTCACAAATATATGGCTTTTTCTTGGGTATCCTGTTAGCTGTTACACACTGCTGTACTTTTAACATTTTTAAAAAGCAATTACACCTTGCCTACTGTTAATTTCTTCAGATAAGTATTTCAAGTGAAATCATCAATTGCCCACTAAGATGGAAGGCTGTAGAAGCAGCAAATTTTCTTAGAGGAGAGATATTCTTAAATCCCACAGGTCCCTAAAATAAGAAAAAGAGTATTACTTTAGCCATAATTGCTCAAGTTTGTCCCTTGTTTTCTACATAAGAGACCAAAAGCATCTGAATTAGAATACTGCTCACTTAATCTAGCTTAAAATGCTTTCCTCGTAGCAGAGTATTTACTTGTTCTGTTACATGATATGGAAAAACTTAAACTCATTTCATCTGAAAAGTAGTCATCTGTGCTGTAATGCAGGTATTACGCACTCCTGCTACTTATTTCTAGGTCATATACAGTTCAACTACCTTATGATGTTTAGGCTATTTGCAAATAAAGGATATTCTTAAAAAAAAATATATATATATATGGTAATAAATTTCTCCCCTACAACAGTACTTTGAAATCCCACATACAATTTTATAAAGATAACAGAAAGTGCTAGGAGCTAGGGATTCTTGCACTTCAAAATAAAAATTAAATGAATGCCATGTTTGTGGGAAATGAATATTAAGAACATATTGAAACGAAACAAAACAGTTACTATTCACATTTGCATGTTTTATTTTGTCAACTGAATGCAGAACAAACTAATCATTTTTGCTTTATCTCAGGATGGCAAGCATCAGAGCCAGCCACCAAGCATAGCAGAGTGGAACCATAAGCTATCACCAGAACAAGGATGGAAAGCAGGCTACATGCACTGTATCACAACCAAACCAGAGCGCCTGAGTTGTGATACTTATCCATGCATATGCTCTTTTGTCATCATAAATATACACATTTTTGTCATCATAAATATACACATTATCTTAAATCATCAGTGAATGTTTATATATATATATATATTGACTGTTTCATTTTATATATATATAAAATATATATATATAAAGAAACAGTCAATTTTGATTTTCCTCACATTTTCAACACTTGAGCAACCTACTGTGTCTCAGCTAAAGAACAATGATTTGCAAACAAAAAGCTTCTTATGCACTCAATTACTTGCATCTTTATTAAAATATTCACAGGAACCTGTGTGAGAGACAACCTCCAACAGGGTCTTAAGCACTTCCACTAAGGGGGTTCTTTAGCCTCAGCAGGGTTCCCTCTCCAATGCTTGCCCTTCTCACCAAGCTTCTCCTTGTGCTCAGCTGAACCCTTCTTTACTACGAAGTTACTTCTCTTGTCCTTCACTCCATTGAATGTAGAAAACAACTAAAGGTTGTTCTTTGTAACAACTCTGTATTCACAGTCTTTCTGTCTTTTTTTTTTTTTTAATAGAACAACCTTGTGTTTTTTGTTTTTTTTTCAAGTGTTGTTTTTATGCTTACTTTTTTTAAAAGACAGGATTGGTCTTTTTAATCGTCTCTGGACTAATTTCAATTGGTCACATCCATCCTAAATTGCAGCATCTAAGGCAGATGACATATTTCAGTCCACAAGAGTAGTATGAATAACAGCATGAAAATACCTTACCATTATTACCTTTGTAATAGGTAAATATAGAAAGGGAAAGTGATGTAGGGAGCAAACTTTAAAGCAGTAGCATAATAGCTAGAACACCTGACAACTCTGTTGCAGAATACATTTTTTCTGACTATAATTTTGCTACTACAAACTCAAAAATGGTATTTTGATACAAGTCACAAATCATGCATTCTTTCTATATACCAGCAGAATAAAAAAAATAAAACATTTTTTCAGTGTCTCTAAAAGCACTGCTTCTTCCCAAAGAGGCAGTACCCTAGTTTTTAAGAATTCAGAAATACCTGAAAAGTCCATTTAATGTAATTCCAAAGAATAAAAGCCTACTGCAGTGGAAAGCAAGTTATGATGAGATTCAAGATGTGCACAGAAGACTGAAAATATCTGGTAAATCAAGTTTTTTCTTACACTTAATAGAAAGAAACCTGGTCATCCGATAGGATCCTTCCATCCCTCATAGATATGACCCTATATAATTGTGGCCTTATTAATAATGCTTGGATGTATGCCTTTGATGCGGTTGTCATTGCACTGAGGAATTATGTAATCTCACTCCTTTGATAGAACTTGACAATACTGTGGAGCAGATGAGAAAGTCAACTTTTCCTTTCCTATTCTCTTCCTACAGAATTTTAACAGCTATTCAGTTCCAGTCTTTTGAATGAATGACACCACACAACACTCTTAGGAGAACCCTTTTTCCTCCCAGTTGTTACATCACGTGAAGGTAGGGAGGTTGCAGTGAGTATGTAGCAGCACAAACTAGAAAGCATTTGCTGCAGTGAAGCTACAGACAGGTAGGCTGAGAAAAGCAGCATATTTCTTTGCTGTGCTGGAAATTCCTGTACAGCTGTGGTTCAAGGCAGCCTCCATTAGCAGGGAAAGAAAACCTCCTGAGAAAGAACTGTAAAGACTGATGAATTTTAGCTAACGTGCTGTCATACAGATCTAATTTACACATCAGGAAAGTACTCAAGCAGTACAGTGACATGCAAAGAAAAAAGTCCAAAGTGAGAGACAGCTGTGGCATATTACACAAGGGATTTTGTATTTAGCTTATAGATGTATTAAAGATTCTATCTGATGAATGAGGAGAAGTGTTCTGTAGTACAGGATGTCAAAAGCAGAGCAGAGCTTCTTACTGTGGTCTTCTGCCAATGAAAGACTGAAGGCTAAAGCGAGGGAAACTTAGGCAATACAAAAGGAGGAGAAAGGTGTTAAGATGGATGTTACTGCGTGGCCCAAATATATTTCCAAATCTTCTTTAATAAGGACATTTCTCTGTATCTATTTCAGGGTGATCTGTGCCTTGCACATCTAAGGAATAAACACACAGCTGCTAAAGATCAAAGAACAAAAGACAAGCTTGGAATACTCTCTTCTGCCAGCCCTGGAAGTACATGGGCTCATCCTAGTTACAGATGAGATTTAATAGATATAGATTTAATTTATGGACTGGGCCCGATTTAATACTAAATTGACACTACTTTTCATCTCGGCTGCAAGGTCATGCAGAAAAATAGGATGAAGATGTAGGCCACTGAAGGTTCACAGAAGACCTTCTTATGTCAAGTATTACTTAAATATGTATTATGTTTATCAGCCTTCCAGATGACAGCAACAAGCTGAAAACACAATGGAAAAAAATTATGAATTTTAATCTTGCCTTTACTAATCAGAGAAGGTTCAGGGAAAAAGAAAACAAAAACCAGGAAGTGCACTTTAAGGAAAGGAAACACAAGATTTTCTATTTACAAATAATAATCAACTGGAAGGGGAACAACTTAGTAGGTAACAGTTGAACAGAAGAGACTTGGAGACTATGTTGGAACAGAAGCTGGATATACCAGTAACATGCTATTATACCAGGCTGTATAAACATAAATAAAGCTTGAATGGCACATAAAGTCTCCCATGCTACTGCTTAGAATTCAGCTGAAGTACGCTATCCTGTTTTGAGTACTGCCCTTCAAACTGAGTCAAGCACATAAACTAATTGGAATGAGTCCAGAGAACAGGATCGAGAATGATCAGAGCTTAAATGCGTAATATAAAACTTTAAAATAACTGGAAGTGTTTAAGTTAAAGATGACACCTGATTAAAAGCAAAACAAACACCAAACAAACATAGAAGTCAGCTGAAAACAAAAATAAAGTAATTCCCAAAGTCATTTATAGATGTGACTAGAAATTCAAGTTATTGGAGAGAGGATTTAAGTACACTATCCTTATATTTACACAATTTTTCTTAATAAGCTTTCAAGTAAGTTGTGGGGGAACTGTCCTACCTCCAACAGTGGAGGTCTTCAAAAAGGGCTGTATAAAGATCTCTCAGTTCCCTCACTCACATAGCAGACCCTGCTATGATGCATGGGAATAAATGAAAAATTCATATCCTGCCTTCTTTTCCTATGGCTCATTAATGTAATTCAAAACAAACCACCTACAAGTTGAAAATTCAGTGTTTCCAAATTTGCAACTAAAGGATTGTTCTGCATTGTTAGTGCATTCTCTAGACCCTCTAGAAAAGCTAGAGGCTGTAGCCTTCCTGACAATTACAACATTTAATAATAACAATAATAAATGCATTAAGAAAGATAAGTGCCTTTTGTAACATTAACTGCCAAACAGGTGAAAAATCTAGCTGCTGACCTACCAGACACATAGCGTGCAACAGAAACAAGCGTCTGAGACAAGTGCACTGCTCACTGCATTTCCTCACCAGCCTTCCCTACGGAAAAGTTAGGTTGCAGCATTGGGGGTAAAACACGCATTTTACCAGCAGTGTAATCATCACCTTTATACAGAAATCAGCATCACGTGTTACAGCTCCTCAAGGCTAGCACATCTTACCTTATCCCCATTTTCCATGTATTTTTTTAAAGCATTCTCTGAAACAAACCCAAAAACACAGATGAGGGAAAAGCGGGGCGAGTTTGACAGCAAAACTAAGTTCTGCGGAAGGGGCTTAGGACATGGAACAGACCCCTTCCACCCCCAAACGCCAGAAAAGCTACCCCTCCTCTCCCCCCCGCTCACACAACTCTCTTAAATACAATTAAAAGCAACCAGCGAAGCGGCTCCTACAGAAAGCAGACAGCGAACGGCCCCACAGCGGCCGGCAGCTGTCCCACGGCAGAAAGCGGTGTCCCTGCTATAGGGCCCGGCCCCGAGCTGCCCACCGCCTACCGGGGCCGCGGCACCGGCAGCGGCATCGCCCGGCGGCTCTGCCCTGTCCCACCGCGCCGCCGGCCGGCCCGGCGCGCCGAGCCCGCACGCCGGGCAAGGGGAGGGTGCAGGGGAGGGAGCGACCTGAAGTAGCAGCCACCGCACCGCCGCCTTCCTCAGCCCGCCCGCGGCGGCCGTCGCCAAAACGCTTCCCCCCGGATGGCTCCCGGCCGCCGGGACGCCGGGAAACCCGGGCCGTGGCTTTCCGTTCCCCCGCGGAACCCGGCCTGGCCGCCCGCCCCCTGAGGCTCCCCCGTGCCGGGCACCCCGAGGGGGCGAGGGGGCTGAGGTCGGGCCGGGCACGGGGCCCCGTCCCGCGGGCCAGGGTTTTGTGCTCGCGTTGCCCTGCCCTGCCCGACACCCTGCCGGTGGGGTGATGAGTCCTGCGTTCCTGATGGCACGCGTTGTTCCCCACAAGCAGGACGCGTTTTATACTGAAGCGTCACAAAATAATGGATTCCCAGTGGCCGCAGGCTGCTGGACGGAACCGTGCTGGTGGAATTACATTGTGCTGCAACCGCTGGTCAAAGCCTGAGGTCTAGGACATTGGGAAGTGACACTGGGAAATGAAGAAGACTCTCCAAAAAGATACCCAATAACCTGTGCACACTGCAGAGTTTTGCCTCTCTTCTGAAAGAGAGAAGGGCCAAGGAAATGCAGGAGATATGGGTGGAAGAACGCAGCTGGAGAAACTGGGGGTGCCAGATGGGCCTAGGCCCATGGCTGCTGCTGCTGGGCAGTGGCTGACCTCAGGTCTGCCAGACAAAGGCCAAAACAGCCAGATAAAAGCAGAAGCTTTTTATTTCAGAAAGGAACATGCAGATGGTACAGCAGTGAATAAGAGATTCGCCACAAAAGTCTGTTAATAATTAATAGAACGCAAGAATATGGATGAGGCTGATACTGTGCTCAGACTGCTGATTATTATGCTGACGGGCACTGTGCTGCTCTATTCCCCTTTATCTGAATCCATCTCCTTTCTCCAACTCTGCTTAGACGGTAGCAGCTTTGGCACTTGGCACAGAGCATTCCTAGTCACAGGCACATATTTACCTTTAGAGTGAACATGGGTGGGTTTCCACATCTCTGCCACTGTTCTCCCACTCATGCAGCTCCCATATTCAGACAGCAGGACCGAATGGTGCTGCAGTACCCCACAACTCTTCTTCACAGAAGAGGGGATCAACATTTTTGTACAGTGCCTAGAGTAATGGGGTCCTGAGCCCTGGCAGCATCTTAATAAAGTAATTATAAATGGATACCCAGAAGTGTCCTGATATAGTATGAAAAAAAGTTCCACACAATGAGCATTTATCGTTGCTGTTTTCTTACTGTGGTACCTCAGTGAGCAGAATTCAGTAAATTATTGGATATTTATCTAGAAATGACTGGATATTTATCTGCAAAGCAGCAATATCCAGCCAATAAATATACAAATAAAATGAGTTTGGGAAATGTCATAAAGATTCAAGTTTCAGGGCAAATATATATATAAATATATAAATATAAATATATATTAGCCTAATGACATTGTGAAAAAGTTTTCCTCATGGACAGATTGCTTCACACATGATTTTCAGTTTCTTTTTATACACTTCAAGAAATGGAATCATAGAATCATCACAGAATCACAGAATTGTCTAGGTTGGAAGAGACCTCAAGATCATTGAGTCCAACCTCTGACCTAACACTACCAAGTCCTCCACTAAACCATATTGCTGAGTTCAACATCTAAACGTCTTTTAAAGACCTCCAGGGATGGTGACTCCACCACTTCCCTGGGCAGCCCATTCCAATGCCTCACAACTCTCTCAGTAAAGAAGTTCTTCCTCATATCCAACCTAAAACACCCCTGACGCAACTTTAGCCCATTCCCTTTTATTCTTTCATCAGGCATGTGGGAGAATAGACCAACCCCCACCTCACTACAGCCTCCTTAAATGTACTTATAAAGAGCGATAAGGTCGCCCCTGAGCCTCCTTTTCTCCAGGCTGAACAAACCCAGCTCCCTCAGCTGCTCCATGTAGGACTTGTTCTCCAGACCACTCACCAGCTGCATCGCCCTTCTCTGGACTCTTTTGAGCATCTCCATGTCCTTCTTGTAGCGAGGGGCCCAAAACTGAACACAGAACTCGAGGGGCGGCCTCACCAGAGCCGAGTACAGGGGGACAATCACTTCCCTAGACCTGCTGGCCACACTGCTTTTTATGCAAGCCAGAATCCTGTTGGCCTTCTTGGTCACCTGAGCACACTGCTGGCTCATGTTCAGCCGACCATCCACCAATACTCCCAGGTCCTTCTCTGCCTGACAACTTTCCAGCTACTTTCCAGCTGCCTGGCAGCTTTCCAGCTCCACTCATCTCCCAGCCTTTAGCTCTGCTTGGGGTTATTGCTCCCCAGGTGCAGGGCCCAGCACTTGTTGAACTTCATACAGATGACCTCAGCCCATCAGTCCAGCCTATCCAGATCCTCCTGCAGAGCCTTCCTACCCTCAAGCAGATCGACACATGCACCCAACTTGGTGTCGTCTGCGAACTTACTGAGGGTGCACTCGATCCCCTCATCCAGATCATCGATAAAGATATTAAAGAGGACTGGCCCCAGTACCGAGCCCTGGGGAACGCCACTCATGACCAACCTCCAACTGGATTTGACTCCATTCACCACGACTCTTTGGGCCTGGCTATCCAGCCAGTTTTTAACCCAACGAAGAGTACGCCAGTCCAAGCCACGAGCAGACAGTTTCTTGAGGAGAATGCTGTGGGAAACGGTGGCAAAAGCCTTGCTGAAGTCAAGGTAGACCACATCCACAGCCTTTTCCTTGTCCACCAAGCGCGTCACTTTGTCATAGAAGGAGATCAGGTTCGTCGAGCAGGACCTGCCTTTCATAAACCCATGCTGACTGGGCCTGATCTCCTGCTTGCCCTGCAAGTGCCGCGTGATGACTCTCAAGAGGTTCTGCTCCATGAGCTTCCCTGGTACTGAGGTCAAACTGACAGGCCTGTAGTTTCCCAGGTCTGCCCTCCGGCCCTTCTTGTAGATGGCCGTCACATTTGCTAGCTGCCAGTCGACTGGGACCTCTCCCAATAGCCAGGACTGTTGATAAATGGTGGAAAGCGGCTTGGCCAGCTCCTCTGCCAGTTCTCTCAGTATCCTTGGCTGGATCCCATTGGGCCCCATCGACTTGAGTATATCCAAGTGCCGTAGCAGGTCACCAGCCATTTCCTCATGGATAGTAAGGGCCACATTCTGCTCCCCATCCCCTTCCACCAGTTCAGGGTACTGGTTATCCAGAGAGCAACTGGTTTTGCTGCTAAAGACTGAGGCAAAGAAGGCATTAAGCACCTCCACCTTTTCCTCATCTTTCAAAACTAAATTCCCCCCCGCATCCACTAAAGGCTGGAGATCCTCCTTAGTCCTCCGTTTTGCATTGATGTTTTTGTAAAAACATTTTTTGTTGTCTTTGACAGCAAAGTAGTAGCCAGATTTGACAGCAATAGCCAGATTGAGCTCCAATTTGGATATCAAACCATTGAGCAATGCTCTCTGGGTGTGACCTTCAAGCCAGTTCCTTATCCACTGAATGGTCCACCCTTCAAATCCATCTCTCTCCAATTTGGAGTTCAGGATGTCAAAACCATCAGACGGATGACAGAATGACAGACATCATAAGGATGTCAGGATGACAAAACCATCATAACACAGAGTTTGATAACTATAATTCTCTCTTTGAATAGAGGACAAACCCAATAACCTCTCCCTCACTGTTGTTGAATTCAGAAAGATATCGTGTTGCTAAAAAAAAATCATAATTGTTTACTCATGATTCTGTATAGAGTAATGAAAGAGAAGGTAGAAGCATTTACAAGCTTAAGCACTTCTGCAGGCCCCAGTAACTGCAGATCTGTTCTTGAAATGTATTTTTTGATAACTAGAAATAACTGCCTATAGAAGAATTTCTCCTTCATAGTTAGTGATATTAGAAATCATCAGCTTCATCACCAGTGCTTCTAAATAATATCTGACCCAGTTTGCAATACATAAGCCAAATTTTAACACTACAGGACAAAATTTATTTGCAGTGAAGTTTAAATGCTTAACAGCTTTAATAGCGTTGTTCACTTCAATAGTATGCAATTAAGACTGCCAAGCCTTGCAGTTAAATGGGGATTGGACAGCCTATATTTGAAAGCTTGGAAATGTTATATGACCAGAAGTGAGTGATTTAGCCTTCTAGGTGTCAATTTCCTGGATATAAAAAGTACTTAATTTTTGCCACATGCATCTCAAAAGGCTATTCAGGAAATTAGTTAATCATTTAATGATTGTAGATCACCTGAGTATGTATCTTTTATTTTTAAAATATTGCTTTCATCTTAAAGTATACTCAGTCTTAGCAGTCTGTTCTTCATGAAAACTGTGGGCTGATCTTAAGCAAGAATGCAAGCAGTGGAGTTCTGCTTGTGCCCCCATAACAAATTAATGTAGTAGATCCGCAGCTGGTGTAGATTGCTGTAATTCTCTTGATTTTAATGAAGCTGTACGAATGTATACCAGCTGAGGATCTACTTGCATAATTCTGGGAGTTAGCATAGAGTGTAGTCCAAAAATACTAGATTCAGTCTTAGAGCCCAATTAGTACAAAACAGAGTAATTAATTTTAAATGTTCTTGTAGAGAACCCTGTCAACATGGGGAATCAATTATTTGCTTTTATGATGCTAAAGAATGAAATATGCACAGTTGGTAGGAAATGATGTTGCAATATTGTAGCAACAATGCAAGACCTTCTAGGAGTAGAAATTGGTTTTATTTTAAATCCAAA